CTCCAACTAGCGATCCATTGCCGCCTCGGCTTGGTCGTGGAGGCATTGTGTGTACGTGGTGTAGACATGAGCCGATTAGATGCTAATGGAGTGCCCCCTCTGTGGGCTGCGCTTGACTCCGGGCAGGAAGAAGTAGCCAGTGTGAGTTATGTTATTTATATTAAGTATTTTTAATTATTTATTTGAACACCTCAAGTAAAAACTTCTAATACAAAGTCTAGAAACTAATCAGTTTAGGACGTTGAAAACAAATTTGTAAAGGACATAGGAAGACCTTTATAACTCATATGAGCTATAATACAATAGGCGGTAGAGCTCTTTGTGAAAGCGTTCGTCCAGGGTATTACTGCCACGTTACTTATTTCTGCCGCCAAGCAGTAATGTCAGCATTACTGTGTTCTAGTTTTGAAAGGTAAGGATGCTGGTGAAACCACAGGCTTATGGGACTTGGCAACTTGTCTCAGGGTGCCGGGCGCAGTGGCAGTGCCCATAAGATCTTTGCAATTTAAAGCTCTGAGTGGCACAGCAACTGTTATGGATGGGCCATCAGGCGCACGACTTGTTCGTTTTGTCACTTGATATTATAAAAAGAGGCGGGTATAAAATAATTTTTTGTTCAGTTGTTTCTTGAAGGTCTTTATCATATGATTATGAACTCAATTGCCTAGCGTAACCGTGCACTGTGGGCACTAGATTGCGCGGCTCTGGGTTCGATTCCTGAAAATATCAAATTATTGCATGTGGTACACATTAATTGGGCAGACAAATAATTGAAACAAAATATGATGATATAATGTAATGTACTGGATTCTGGTCCGAAATAAATGCTTATTATTATTATAAGATACAATAACGCATATTGATTACAGATATTGGTTCGAAATGGCGCAGACGCTGATTGTTGGGGACCGGGACCAGATGGATGTCTGCAAACTTTGTTGCACAAGTAAGATTTATAACACAATTTAATTAATAATGTAGCAGTCCTTGTGAAAGAGTTCGTCCAGGGAAGTACTGCCACTTTACCTATTTCTGCCAAGATGTGAGCATCACTGCGTTCCGGTGCTCGTGAAATTACAGGCACATAAGACTTGTCAACTTATGTTTCAGGGTGACAGCTGCAGTGGCAGTGCCCCTCGGGTCTTTGCGATTTAAAGCTCTGAGTGGCACTGCAACTGTTATGTGGCATGTAACTTACGATCAGGCGCACGACCTGTTCGTCCCGTCAGTTGATATTATAAAAAAATAATACGAGAACTGAACACCGCCGCAAAGTTGCCTGCGGTCATTATTCTACAGGATTTATCACGGAGAGTGTGGGACGAAATTACATGAAATCATTCAAATCTAAATCGCGTCTATGAAAAAACAAATATACGCTATATAAATCCGAAGATATATTGTCATGCTCTAAGAATCGTTATGATGTAAAACAGTTCTCGTATCGTTAAACTTTGCCAGGGCCATAGACGAGAACAAAGAAGCACTGGCAACGTTCTTGATCCGTTCTGGATGCGACGTAGAATCGCCGCGTAGAATCGGCGCGGGCGGCGAGGGAGCCGACGTCGCCAACGAGAAACAGGCACCGCTGCATCTCTGTTGCACTTGGGGACTAACTGACGTCATACAGGTACTTACAGTAAAACTATTTTGATTTCTGAATGCAAATATCCATGTCTATACAGGAAGAAATTTTGGGTCTTTTATCAAGCTCCATTTTATTCAATCACTTTGTAAACAAAGCAATTTAATAAATAACTTGAAACAAAATTCTTAAAGATATTTACCACATTTGTGTATCTTTATAGTTACTATTATTATACACTTCCGGACCCATAATTCGAGCCACCACGCATTTTCAGTGTTAAGTGCCCTAAGTTTAAACAATGTTGGTTTTTTATCAAAAACTATTATGCAATTTTGAAACTAGTATACTAAACATATCTTTTCCATAAGTCCTTTTCGGGAATTTGGATTTGCAAAACCAGGGGAAAACTTTTTCTTTGATGATAACACTATTTTTGTATTCTAGCTCTTTACGACCAAGGTGGCTCGATTATGTGTCTGAGAGTATATTTAACTTATTAAAATTAATTTGCTATTTATTTTTCTTTATTATTATTATTATTATTATTATTATTATTATTTGTTGCATTTAGGTTCAGTCGATTAATTCATGTAATATGAGTGTTATAGTTCTCCATTTTAATATTTAGTTTTAACCTTATGGTCTTGATGTCAAAGGTCATAAAAAAAAGAAGGCGGGTGAATGCAATCAAGCTGTCATTACAGTCTTCGAAATCCTAAACGCCGAACTTGTGTACTCTCTCTCTCACCTTTGAAAAGTAATATGTAATAGAAACAACAACACAGATACATTTTTTACTAAAAAAAATATTCCTCTAGTAAAAACACAAATTGTTCAATTCACAGACGCTTTTAGAACACGGCGCCGATATAAACTCGAAAGACGCAGAAGGTAAAACGCCCCTGCACATTGCTATCGAAAACCAACACGCGGGCATCATCTCGCTGCTGCTGTCCCAGCCGGGCATCGACCTGTCCGCGAGAGACAACAAGGGCGTCTCGCCCTTTGCCGCTGCCCTCACCGCTAGGAACAATAAAGCTGCACAGGCTATTTTGGAAAAGAATCCTTCGGCTGCTGAACAGGTTTGTATTGTTTTTCCACCTTATGGAAAAGAATCCTTCGGCTGCTGAACAGGTTTGTATTGTTTTTCCACCTTAATAGTGCTCAGATAGATGTAACAAGTTTTTGTTGGAATCGAGATAAACCAACGATCCGCCCTTTGCGCGCTCGCCCAAGGCACTGACTAGCCTTTTGAGAACCGGATGAAGTCTGTGTAAACGGGCTAATCTGGGGTAGAACCTCACTGATAAGGGTCCCTATGCAAGGGGTCTACTCTCGATCTCCGTCCTACATCCGTCCGAAACAATTACTGTTAAATAAGTAATATTCGATAAAATTAAAAGACAACTATCAAGTATGAAGCTTCATTCGCATCACTCGTCTTTTCATTTGGTCAAGTATTGCTTATTTGGCAGTAATTGTTTCGGACGAATGTCGGACAGAGATCGAAAGTAGACCCCCAGACTTGCTTGCATAAATTATAGTACCCTTCTCGTATACTTTTTAAGGATCTGTAGGGAGAGTCACTATAAACAAAACATCTATAGTCTGTTCCAATCCATCATATAGAAAAGTAAACAAAACGGTTTGGTTAAAATTCTAAAGCAATCACTCAATAAATCTAATAAGTAACACTTTCACGTATATTTCGAAGATTTTTGACTTGATAGCATCGTAAAATCGTATTTGAAAAATGGTAGTCAAAAAGTGAGATTATGTTTTTTTTTTTTTTTTTTTTTAATTATTAAGGCTTTGGCAAAGCCATCAGCCTAAACGTGAAGTTTAATTATGTTTCTGTATATTCTGTATATATTTCTAAATATGGCCGCCACAAAGAGGATAGGCAATTTGATGCGGCGTGCTTGGATTGACTCGGGATTCCTTAAAACGGGCCGATACGGGTATTTTAGTTCGAGATTCGTATAATTTCGCGTTTTAATCTTCGATTAAGGCACAATATCACTATCCTATTCCACTTTAAACTAGATTTCACAAAATAATTGAAAGTCAAAATAAAAACGACACTTTTCCCTCCAAAAGGTCCAGAGCGAATCCTGAGATTATGTTTTAATTATAGACGTGTGAATAGTCTATGGTTGCATAATGCTGTACGGAAAAAAACATTCGGTTCATTCAATTAAAGTTTTTGTAATCGATTAGTGAATTTCAATCGCCTTCGAACGAGTGAAGGATTTGAAAGAGGATTTAAAATTAAGATTTCCGAAATATGAAATATGCTTTTAAGGATTATGTAAGGAAAACTGCTATTATGACTCAATTAAACATATCGATTCATTCAATTAATTAATCAATTTGTAGTTGGCAGTAAAATTGGCCATCACTAAACCGTCTATCGGGTCAGTGACTTTACTTACTTATTGTTTCAAATGGATTGAAACGAAGCATATAAATTTAAGGTTGCTGTTCTCTCGGTTCGCTCTTTGTGATTTTAGTATCCAATAGCATCAGTTCCACCGAAGTGTAGCAATCTCAAAACCTAAATACTCGATAAATCTTTGATAATTATATTTCACATAAATAAATGCCTGGTACGTGTCCACCGGGATCGAAGGAATTTTTCTTTGCGTTTGTTCGATCTTTGACTTAATAATAACAACAGTGGAGTATTTTCACAAAATATATGAATATAATGGTAGTAAAAATATCATGATAGGTACTCAATAAAGTAAACATAGCAATTAAAAAATCTCTTGTCAGCCGCTGGAAGCTCTAAAAATACTTGGCTGAGAGAAGAAAAAACTGTCATAGGTTGCTCACAGGTGACGATTCGACAAGAGAAAGTCGTTAAAAAGCAGAAACAAAGCGACAAGCTCAGTTGGAAGAGGGATAGCCCTGGTATGACGATGTCGCTGGTTCTAGTTCAGCCGGATCGAAGGGTTTTTTTATGGTTGTACGATTTTTATATCAATATACCCTATAAACCCATTTTATACCTATAAACCCATTTCAATTTTCGTGCTAAATTAGTTCATTAAAACTGGAATAACTTCTAGCTATGAAGCAATAGACTCCGGAGAAACAGATATGGTTATGTCACTTGAATAGTTAGTGATTTCTGGTTTTACTATTCTTTCTATGTATAATGTGTAACAAGTGTGATTTTACGTCCGCTGATGATCGTACACATGATACAAAGATAAGCTCAAACAAACATTATCGATAATAATTTTAATGCTCTATACGAAATGTGCGGTGTTTAAATTAGGAATCAATATAGGGCGGGCAGCAACTATTTATTTTTGTGAAATATTTAAAAATAAATATTTTACATTTGCTAATGTAATAGATAATTTTTATTTAATTCACTACTCGGGCATGCATTTGTCTTCGTTAAAATGGAGACTGCTATCGGATTTTTTTTTTTAATATAGCAATTACAATTTTTTTATCGCAGGTGGACAAGAAAGGTCGTAACTTCCTTCACGTAGCCATTCAGAAATGCGATATGGAAAGCGTAATGTTCCTTTTATCAGTGGAAGTCGATGTGAACTCGCGCGTACAAGACGCCACGCTCGCTCCGCCGTTGCATTTAGCAGCTGCTGCCGGAAATGAAGTGTTGCTGAGGAGTTTGTTGCTGGCTGGAGCTAGACCGAACGACAGAGATGCTCATAAGTAAGTTTCTCATGACATTAAAAAATCAAGGCAATTTTTTTGCAGTTAAGTGCGCATTTGACCTCCATCTCACGTGATGGAAAGTGATACTAAGTTCACTGTCGCTCATCAAAAGTCCAAGTTATAACGTTCAGTGAAAAAGTTTGAAGGCAGAAAATTTAGTGTAAATAAAGTGTTTTTTGTGCTATTTTAGTGCGAATCGTTGGAATATCTACAAACATGAGGGTTAAATTATTTTATAGTCATCATCTGTTATTTTTGTAAGTAGCCATATTACTAATATTATATATATACAATAAATAATACAAACAGAATAGGTCCAAAAATTAATTTTGCATAGTTTTCATTGGAGGTATCGATCTAGTCACTCGATGATGGAAAGGGTAAGGCGGGATTAAATCGTGCAATTCGCATTCTTCTTCGTGATATATCCTGTAGAATCGTCTACCTATTATACGTCTCACTGTTGAGCACAATGATTGAAACTGGAAAAGTAATTCAAGGCCTTATTCCCAGACGTACGGCTCTCCACGTAGCGGCATCGACAGGTCACGCTACAATAATATCAGCCCTTCTAAGTGGCGGCGCGCTGTGCGACGCGGTGGACGCTGGCGGCGACAACGCGTTACATGTCGCGGCGAGAGAAGGTCATGCCAATGCTGCAAGAGCGCTACTGGCTGATAGTGAGATTGATGCAGTTGCTACTAACCTTAAGGGTAAGTCCGACTTGAAACACCAAAGCATACAATTTCTGTTTTTTCTTACAATAAGTGAGGTCATACCTGGAAGTAACGACCTAAAAATATCCAAAAATCTATAACGATGTTATAAGGTATTTATTTGATTTCCGTTTTAAAATGTCTCAAAGACAAAGCATCGTGTAAACACTGTGAAAGTAAACTAGGGTTTTATTAACTCCTAATTTTGATTTTAGGACGAAACCCGCTACACGAATTGTGTTGGTGTAAAAAAGACAACGCGGCGACGATTTGCGAGATATTCCTAGAATTCATGCCTGATTATCCCATCAATAGGACCGATTTGCAGGTATATACAGGTTTCAAGCAACAATTGTAATAATTATATTCAGTTTGACATCTTATTGGGCGCTATTTTTAATAGACCTTTTTAGGCGCCAAAAAATGTATTTGTTTTCTATTAGGGTAATACTCCACTCCTGCTGGCATACATGAATGGTCAAGGTGCGATGTGTAGAGTACTCGTCCGAGCAGGAGCGTGTCTAGCGCAAGAAAATAAAGATGGCATTTCTATTTTCAACTATCAGGTAATGTATTGCTGTATTTTTTTGTGAGATTGGAATTAATGTTTGAGCAGTTATCAGTCTGGGCATGTTTAAGTTCAATTCTGTTTTGAAATAAAATTATACAGGTGATTCCTAGAGGTCTGCAATATTTTTAAGGACTGAAATCGATAAAATAAAATCTGCTGTTCCCTCCTAATTTATTGTCGAACAAGTATAAATATTTAATATGACTAAATAAATAAAAATATATATCCGTCACTTAAAAAAATCGATTTTAAAAAAAAACCTCTTAAAAGTCTTTTAGAGGTGGATTCAGACTTATCACTATCTTAAGCTTATTGTACCAGTGGCAAAGACGCTATTACACTTATTGTCTAAGGACGGCAACATTCGTAGTTCAAGAACTCTTTTTTGTTTCATACTGATGTATAAAAAAATACAGGTGGCAACAAAACAATTGCTGCATCGGCTGTTAGACGCTTTGCCAGCTGAAGCTCCCTGGGCCGAGAGCGATCTTTGTCAAGAGTGTGGTACCAAGTTCACTCTTACTATGCGAAAACATCACTGGTAAGTTCATAACCCATTTAATGTGAACATCGAGTATATAACCAGAAATAGAGACATAGAAATGTAATTTCATTTGTTATGAAAATTATTCTGCCCAACTCATTACGGTGGCAACTGCGCTCCTATTGGCCGGCCCGAATTCGAAACAATTGACGGGTGTCGTCAATTGTTTCACTTCAAATGGACCAGTTTAACTTGAGCTTTGCTATAATGGTCGAGAATTGAAAAATGACATATTTAATTACCGATGAAATGTGATTGCGTTTGCTTTGTAATTAGAAGTTTTGCTGTTTTTCCCACACCTCCGAACGGAACAGCCCCCCATAGTTAGAGATATTATCTTTATTACAATTGATGCAGAACATTTTTGGAATATATGGAGACGTACACACAGGTAGTTGTTGGCGCTGTACTATTTCAGCTTTCTAATTTGTGATTTCAGTGCAAACGGGTTGATATTTATAATTGATATAACGCCAATTTGCCTGATGCGTTGCCAGGGATGGATGGTCCTTATATTTCATCTCTATTTCTGGTTGTATATTCGATGAATGTGAATTAGATAAAATAGCTTCGCCTATCCAAATATTAGCTACGCTTTCAGCGTGCCCTTTAAGACCTTAATGGTAAATTTCGTACTTTGAAAACGACCTTTCTTTTTATTAACCATTAATATTGTTTCAGCCGTCACTGCGGACGAATGTTATGCAACAAGTGCTCAAGCCAAGACGTACCGATCCTTAAATTCAACCTGAATAAACCGCAGCGGGTCTGCGAGATTTGCTTTAATGTGCTTCAAGTTGGCGCGAGTTAGTAACAACACCTCACTCATCGAACCTTAGCTAGTCGATGGAACGTTTTGGACCACTAAAAGGCCAACGACTGTATAGGATAACCATAAATAGTAGTTTAAATACCACGTTCCAAAAGATGTATGATTTGAGATTTTCTATAGTTAGCCTGTTTAATGTGGGCTTGAGGCTAAGATACTATTTGCTGCAAGGAGTTGCAGAATTTTTTTATTCAGTGTGTATGTACACTTAAGAGTACTCAAAAACATTCTGAAGTTATACATATATGTAATGTGCTATAAGTATGTATTTTTACTTAAGTATTTGATTGTATTTGAACAATATTTTTTCAATTGTAAGATTGACATTTTTGGTGATAAAGAAATGGGTAGGTTCACATTGTCACTAATTATTTCGATAGTAGTTTTTGTAACCGTAGTTGTATTGTTAATGTTGACGGTCTCCATGCGGACACTTACACAGCAGCTGCGCTAGAGCATTATCCTATGAAAATTTTGTCACAATCACGTTCTGCGCGGCAGCTGATCACTCATGCCGTTTTGCTACGAGAAAACATCTATATTTTAGGCTAAACATTTATGGTATTCTAGAACTGAAAGCCATGCGTCCATTTAAATTTACATGGCTGCAACTTAGTGCCTCAAATTGTTTGAGATGGCAATTTTATCTAGGAATATAAAATTGTATATGCCAAAGTCTGAACATGCTTTTACTTCCCTTGAAATTGCTAGCTTTAAGTATATGAATACATTATGTATTATCAAATTAAATTAGGTTTATTACTGTTATTGTAATATTGTTAAATTTTATATTTTATTTTTATCACTCATCATTTGTGATTTTGTTTGTGTGCATTTTCATTGCTTAGAAAAATGTCAATTTTCACTTTTAGTGTTAAAATTTTGTATGGACTCAAATGTATTTTCAAATGATTTAGATTTTAAGGTTTGATCATTTTAACTTGTAATAATTTCGTACTCCATAATGAAAAGTTCAAAATTCATTATATACATTCCGCAGTGAGTTTTTTTTTCTAATAGCCATGCTATTTTTTCATGAGAAAGTCTTGAGCTTATTTTCGAGAAACATCTACTTACTATGTTTAGAAAATGTTATATTTTTGTTTAAAATTTTTAATAAACAATGTGTATGCTTTGAAAAACAAACCTATTATTTTATTTCTTAAGACAAATGCAACAAAATAACAACCAAATAACGAGTTAACTGTAATAAGGTGTTTATTTATAATTAAATAACATCAACCCACAGCATTGAACGATTTGGTAATTGATAACATAATTTACTATTTCACTACACTCCGCCAAATTTGTAACCTGCGAAAACAAAATGACGAAATGAAACATTATAACCTACAGTTATGCTAATTACTTTAGCCTTTTGAAAAGGTCTTTATAGACACATTTGTCGAGGACATGGAGGTAGTCAATAAGCTCCTCCTGGCAGTTTTCAGTTGTATTTTTACGGGAATTGACACGATCATTGCATTCTTGGTACTTCGCCCACAGAGTTTGGCATTGGGGTGTTTCTGCACATTGTTCCTGTAAAGATGTGGAATTTATTATTATGGTGCATTTTTTGCGCATAATTCACAGCATAAATTCTTATAATAAATGGAATCTATTAGCATAGAAAAAAATAGTCAATTTTATTAATTTTGTTAGAAAAATTATGTTATGAATTTGATCAATTTCTGCTGTCCCGATTTTTTCGTCACATGCAATGAAATGATCCCTTTAAGAAACTGAGTCGATCAAAAATGATGTCTAGAAAATTTCGTGGATGCTGTTCTGGGAGCCTACCATATTTCAAAATACAATCTTATTTCAATGTAAGCTTACTGTAGCTTATTATAATATTACTCTCATTCGTACCATGAGAAACCTGTCAACGACATATAATGGTTGAAGTGATGGGATAAATAAATCATTTTTCAAGATTGTCTATTCCTAGCTAAAAATTGTTTTTTGATGGTCCTCAATCATATATTAAAGTAAAGAATTTTGGCTACCAAGAAAAGAAAAGTATGTATAATCAAATTTATTACGATTACGCATTGAAGTCAATGCGATTACGTCATTTTGTTTGGTTCCAGACCATTTCCACCGAAGATGGGCTACGAGAGAATTGAAATTTTGTCACAATAATTTCAATCCTCGTCTCGCCTCGCCGGTTGTAAATCACCTTTAGCCTCACTGTCATAATTTTCCAAAACGTTATCGGTTATAATGCAGGATGTCATGAAGTAAACATTGCGTTTTATTTAATGACAAATTTGGTGTAGTGTTTAATTTAATAATAAAATAAATTATCAAAGAGGTTTATGTTAAGTTAAACTTAATCTTAATCCAATCTATATTTAGAAAACAAATTCGAAACTAATATTGTTTCCACTGGTACATGTAACTATTTTAAGATTGCTAAACTTGACATAAGAACAATATTATTACTTTAATGTCAAAGTCGCGTCATAGTATTTCATCATAGAAAATTCCGTGAATGAATAGTCACAAAACTGCCTATGAAACATCATAGTTTCAACATTTGTTTAAGTGCGTCATGGTAAAAAAAGTACATGTAAGGTTAAATTAATATTGTTTTAAGAGGTTGGGGTAGGCCCCTAAATTGAATAAGTTATTCATAGGACATTTTTTGTTTGGCATTAGACATGGACCAGTAACTCTAGAGGACTGCAAACCTCCGTACTGCAAATCACACTCTGAAAAAGTTCAAAATTGCCAACTGTATACCTATATAGATGGCACTGATCGATAGCTTGGAAGTAGTTTATATTATGAATTATAAGGCGGATAACTTGCTGAAACCTCCCTTCACCCGGTCAGGATACTACATGAACTCCTTTACGATTATGGCTGCACAATTATTATTGTGGAACGAACTTCCGTCTGAAATACGACATTCCAAGTCGCTCCTTATTTTTAAAACTGCATTGCGTAACTATCTTCTGAAACGTTCCTAGTATGCAACATGTATTTATATATTTATTGGTAAGTATAAGTATATTTAGGTATATATATTTCTTTATTATTTACAAATATATTATGTAAGTCTAGTACACCGTTATTTGTTTATTTATTATTCGATATATATATAATTATATATATATATATATTATACTACTTATACGTTTCTGACTTTGGCACACTACCTCTTCTCCTTAGATTAGCTTTCCTATACCTCAAAGGTTGTCTGGAAGAGATCGCTCTTAGCGATAAGACCGCCTTTGCCCACATTAGTTTTAAGTTGTCTATGTACTGTTTTTGTTATTGTATGTGAGCAATTAAGTGTATATCTATCTATCTATCTATCTATGAAATGGCCGTGGATATCAATTAATTCCTCTTTAGTATGAAGTATAAGAATGATTTTTTTCCCCCTTGTAATATAATTAAATTTCTTTTTTAATATATAAAGCAGGGTACTCATTAGCGAGCTGTAACACAGACTGTGACTGTGACACACACAGTAACGAGGTTCTAGTGTGTAAGCTTGAAACAGTCTTAAATTAGATGGCTCACTGCGAATCGCACGCGTACCGCTCGCGACAAGTTCGCGTACCACATACATACTATGATTTTTGTTTGCATAATATGCAATTTAGTTACAGCTCGCCAGTGAGAATCTGGCTTAATTGACACATGCTTGGCCACAATCTTAACTGATGTTAAGCGACGATATGACCGACGATGGAACGCATTTGCCTAAAAAATGCCTATTCGCTCTAGCCTTGAATAGCCCCAAATTGTATGTTTTGGGAAACAGATGCAGATGTAGAGTATTTCATTCCTTTGCCGCACGCATCAGGAGGAAGTAAAGCGCTTAGTGCGAATTGATGGTATATCAACGACATAAGGATGGAGTGTAACGGACCTATTTGTAGACCAAAGTAGGAACGGTGAGGGTCAAACTAAATTGAAAAGTTCCTGCGCAAACTCCCTGAAATGTATCTGACAGAAAATCGATTGATCATGAGCTAAAATTATTTCCTGAACTTTAACAAATATGCGTGTCAATAGATGGTATTGTGAGTTACTAAGTAATTTATAAATTAAGGCTTCCTATATGGGTAGATGGCGCTAATTCTAAAGAAAATAGAAAAAAAAAAAGAATAGCTCTAGCACTATCCATAAAAACCTGTGTTATAAGCGCCATCTAGTTGTTTTGCTTGTTATCACTACAAGAGAAGAGAGAGACGTTTTGATAAATTGCAGCTTGTCTACAAATAGCTATTTTGTACTCGCCGCGACATCTAGTGTACCAATAGGTACCAAATACCCGACTACACTGTCTTGTATCGCGATTAGCAGTCCTCCTTTAAGTTTTTGGTTACTGGCATTAGCTAAAGAAAATCAATCAAAATATGACTTATCTGTTATTTGTTGTAATGCTCCTCAATTCATGTACAAATCCTTAGCAAGTTAAATGTATTATTTTCAAATGGGGGGTATAAAATATGCCTAGTAGGTGCAACTACTAGGGCGCTCCCTCACCAGGAGCATTCGCCTGTAGTGTAACAGTTGAAATTCAAGCATTACATCAGTGAGTCAGCAAAACTGAGTATTACAATACGTAACCTGAAATGATACAATTTCTAACATTGCAATTGTGAGAGAGAGCACCCCTGATACAATTTGCAACATCAATGCGCATCATTTGTAATGACCATGTTGTGGCACAGGGTCAGTGACCTAGACGACGGCGTGAGCTTACCTGTACGTAAAATTGTTTTTTGCTTTCGGGGCTAAATTTAAAAATGGTCTGAGACAATGAGAAAACCCTATTAGTTGAAAAATATAAAAATATATACTCAGTATAGAGAGATCACGGAATACCTTGATTTCCCTATATTGAGTATGACGAGTATCCCATTATTATGGGATCTTCATGACATTCAATACAACATTAATAAAACAAGATGATTAAGTCAAATTGACATTTTAAAAATAACTGATTAGACTACAGACGAATGCTCATCAATTATTGAGACAATATTATAACATAATGATCAAAAGCGAATCTTGGATTGTTACATTCCACGCGAATGCTCTCAGTGTGGAAGGGTCTTTATGTTTTTGTCGAACATTTACTGTAACCACATTGAAATAACTTGGGAATAAAAAACAGGATCATTGCATTACATCATGGAATGCTGAAGTAAAATAAATCATCATGACTAACTTATGTTTACTAAGTTTAGAAAAATAATAAATAGAAAATCAATTACCAAAGCAGACTTAACAAATTATCCATTGTATTTGTTATTGTAATTTCACTGATACGATATTCACAGGCTTGAATGAGGTTGTTTTTACTTCTTAAACATAATCTTTTGACCTTAGAATACGAAAGTTTTCCAAAAGTATGGTTACTTAGGTAGATCAAGGAAAAAACTAAAAATCAAATAAAGTTGTAGGTTAGGATAGGTTAAGTCTATGAACAACATAAATATAATGTAATATGATAATATAAGGGCAAGCTATTTATTACCCTGAGTTCATCCTGGGGGTCCACCAATTCTTCCTCTTCCTCCTCCGCCTTGACCGCAGGGATAACTTTGTCTGCCATTATCACAGCAACACCTGCAACCATATTATCACTACGCATCACAGATGTAGGGAATAACGTTTTAACATTAAATGAGTATACATTTCTGTCGAAAATAAGAATAGTTTATTATAAAATGATTAAAAATTACCTCAATCGATGACGCAACGACTGCGAACTATTGTGTAATGTTGCCAGTTAAAAAACGAAAAAATAAACTGCAAATATAATTGCTACCTAGAGACTTCCAAAAAACTGCCTCAATGGCCGAACGGTTACCATGCCGGACTGCCACGCAAAGGTCCTAAGTACGATTCCCGAGCCGGAAGAAACATTTGTATGGCCTACATTTATTTCTCTCGTGACTTTGGATGTAATTTGTGGTTGTCTATGTGTGTGTCCATGGCACCCGCAACACAGCGTTTCCCTACTGCGGGGATATGTTGAGTGTGTACGTTATTTTTATTATTATCCAAATAAACATGAGTTACTAAAAAACTGACAGAAATTTGATTATACATAAAATTTTAAATTACTGAATTTATACGATGAATATCTGCGCCACCGGCTATTGCACCCATTACCTACACTTACGTTAAATACGAGTAGTTCGTTCATAAAAAAGTCGTTCACTGTGATGTTAAGAGCAAGAACAACCTCAGAATGCGAGTTGCAACTAAGTGGATATTAAAACAAACATTAATCACGTAATGTCAATTTATTGACATGTCATGTACCCGTAGGTATCTGGTACTAGGTGTAAATGGCTGGTTTTTACCTTCATTTACATACTATTTTAGTACAGTAAGCCGTAACGGTTTGACCTACCGCCTTTCAAGCAAAGGCCGTGGGTCAAAGTTTTTCGGAATTTATGTAAGAAATTTAATTCGAAATGTATGAATGAGCTTATCGATGAAAGAAAACATCGTGATGAAACCTGCACGTCGAAAAGGTTCACAACCCTTGGAAAACGTGTGAAGTCCCCAACCCACAATGGGCCAGTGCGGCGGACTACGGCCTAAACCCTCGCATAAAAGGAGACCCGTGCCAGCAGTGTGGAATGTGTAAATAGTTTGATGATGATTTAATACAGTAACATGTAATATGTACATATAATAGGTAGGTATAGTAGGTGGTAAATGTTCTACTACACAACAATTGCACGCAACTAAGAGATTATGGACATGAATTTACGACAATTTTGCAATAGTGAGATTCAGTCAGATACTAGTCAAAATGCCGACCTTGACCCGTAAGCACATGTTCGTTCGACGGTATATGGAATTCTTTTTTGCAGATCTACGGATATCGATATGCCTCATCTCTTCTGTCCTTTCACGCTGCTCTGTATAGACACCGTTTTTAACATTTAGGTCAACCTGTGGTGAAACTACGTGCCCCATTGAACCCTGTCGTCATTCTCGTGTTCTTTCTCATGCGCTCCTACAAAACACCCTTACTTTTTTTTACGTTATGGGCTATTTTCTTCTCATGTTTGCAAACGTCATCCTCACCGATTACTTATTTTTCACATCTGATTTCATTTCGAGGACTAAGCCTATCATATCTCACTAAGAATTCCGTTAAACTAAGCAGTATCTTTCCTATAATTCCTTATTATTATAAAATTTTACTTCACAGTTATTGAAACATTTTGTCTGGATTTTTGACAGTTCTGCTATGTTCTATATTCATGCTTCCATAAACTATTATGTACTCTTTTAGTACGCAATTTGGCGTGTAAAAGAGTATTTTTTTGATTTTGTTGACTCAGATCTTCAAGAGCTAGAGGCTCAGTTCAGGGATTCTTTCCTGCAAAAGACCACAGTGCTTTTTGGGGCACAACCTTGTTTCAGGCACAGGTGCTCAACTTTTGGGCACCTTGCGCCTGAATCTGTACCTACACACCGGCTAATAGTCTCCGAAAAGGTTTGTATACGTACATACTTCGTAAAGTATCATGATCTGACGTCAAACTAGGACAGAGAAGTGTGTATGACTAGTCTAGAGAGTGATCAAATATAAAATTTCTAAATGTATTTCATACCATTAACTGAATAAAACGTTATGTTTTTGTTACACCTTGTATATTAATTAATATTACGTCTATCCATCTTCACACCATCAGAAAAAATCTGTAAGAAATTCCGCGCGCACGCAATAGGATACTCCACTCAAAAATTTTGTGCTAGACACTGCATGCTCTAAGCCACACGCTATTAAAATTTTATCGTAGAGTGTTTAAGGCTGATGATGTTAATGTAAATGCACTACTATCGTATGGCGTCGTCCGCCAATTTAAGAAAATGAGATAACAAATGTCGTAGGTACGTAGCTACCAAGTATCAAAATCCTTTGTTGAAAATTGTATGTTACTTCAAATATAGCTGAAAGTTTAAAAAACTGTCAGGCATTCATTACCTATATAACTACTAAAGTTATTATTATTATTTCCTTTATAGCGGCCACTATATAGGCTTGATCCAATGTCAGTTTATAAGAACAATATAAAAATTATGGCGATTATCGCCAGTATCAGTATTAATTCCATATACTTGTATTTTGATGTACGGCTGAGTGCACATTTCGATTTCGGTAATAATGTAATATAAAGTTCGATTCGAAATAATGTAGTACCTTAGAATAATAACGCATAGAAACCTAGTCCGCACACGCTAAGTGAGGCAAATTGAAGCGCTCCCAATGGGCTTACATGAGCGGGCGGGCCTCCAGTGCTCAAGGTCAACTTGCAGCTCAAGAATTTTAGCTAAAAATGACGAAATGTGCGGTAAATGAGTGTAAAAATACGTCAGACAAACATAAAATAGTACTAACATCATACTAACATCACATTCCACAAGGAAGTAACGCGTTTCAACTTGTATTTTTATATAAATATTCACTAAAACCGAAAATTAACCTACTACTAAAACTAGCCTACATGAATTCTATTTTTACCTCACTTGTGACAGTTCGTTTGATATGAAACTATCATTCTATGCGTTATTATTCTAAGTGTAGTACGTTTAAATTTTTTTTAGTACGTTTTTTAGTAGCATAACGACATTTGAGGTATACCAATAGTAAAGTATTTTTATAACGACATCAAAATCACCGAAGCAAAATGCACAGTGTGTGTGGTGCGTAGAAGATAGCCTCGAGGTTTGCTGATGATATCCTGCTAGCCTTATTTAGTTTGTGTTGACAACGTCTGATTATTGATGTGCTCTTGACCCTGTACATTCATGTACAGGGTCAAGAGCACGTCAAGCTTGACACTTAAGATTTGAACCTAACTCTATGCCGCTTACGATAAAAACAGTCCAAAGACAAAGTATTAAGCTTAATGTGCTCTTGACTGTACCATACTGATAGTTCTTTTAGGAGTATGTAAATAACCACGATACAAATTATTGAACAATTTCATCTTTTGTTATCAGCCAAAAATAGTAGAATCTAGTCGATTATGTGGCAAGACCCAAAGTGACATAGCTCGGAGCTGCCAACATAACATAAATTAGACGTACATAAAGTTACTTATTTTCGTACATTTACGTGTATTAGATAACCGGAAAAAATATCATACTTTATGGTAAACATTGTGCAAGAAATCAAACGAAAGTCTCATTTGTGAGAATTTGCAAAACAAAATTTAGGTTACACCGTTATTTCCATTATTTATTTGTGATAAAACTAGAAATGTTTCTCCCAAAACAATATTAACTTATAAACAGGATTGAGGTAAGTATTTTTTATCAGAATTTCAGAGCTCCTTGGACCGTCACCATGGAGAGAGCTTGCTGCAGAAAATCATTTTGTAATTCGATTTTTTCGTGTTAATTTAGTGAGTTTCTTATAATTTCATCATGTCTAACATAATAATGGAGATATGGTCTATAGCGGCATAAGATGAGATCACACGTTTTCGTCTACGTACAGCGATTTAATAATATTTTAACCGTATTGTTGTTTTCTTTCAAATTACAGGTTGGTTTTACACGGAAAGTCTATGTTTTTAGCCATTCACATATTTATTCCAGATGACGGAGCCGTTCCTTGGGCTACAAAATACAATTTGCCAATTTAGAGTGACTTTTATTACAATTTTAGGTTAGGTCAAGTAAAATATTAATATTGTTTATTTTCTTTCAGGATGAATGGAGGGATGGAGCATAAACCATCAGGGCATAATGCCGCGTTGCACAAAGCGCCCAAGAACTATAAGTTATTGATAGACCCATTTTTGGTAAAAGGAGCAACCAAGTTGTACAGATATGATGGGCAAGTGCCAGGAGACAACACATACCCTCCTGTGCAGTGCAGAGACCCACGATCGCAGCTCTCCAGAATCTGGAATAGACTAGAAGCTGCTGATCTGCCGGTTCCTAGGTATAAACATTGTTTTTTCTTTTTTTATTCGATGGTTAACATGACAATTTCAATAATTTCCAAGTCGGTAGGTCAATGTCCATGGAAATTTTCTTAGAATTTTAGTTCAAGTTCCTAATCATTTTTACGTACTAGATATGAAAATTATTAGTAAAAAAATCTAGATATGTTTACCCAAGTAAGTTTATATCAGTTTCTGAACTTCATTGAGCTAAAAGTGGGTTGAAATATTGTTAACATATTTAGTGCAAATTTAACTGCACACTAGTGAATTTACAGTTATAAATTGTCATAGGTTGATTGTGATTTATGCGTAAACACTAAAATTTCTCGGAATATTGAAAATTCATTAGAAAAATGTGTAAAATTAGATATATAGTCTTCTTTGTTTTTATTATAGCCACTTGCTCAATGCTACCAACATGAAAAATTTTATTTGACATTTGAGTCGTGGCGGGAATTTCAAATGACGGAATGTTTTTATCCTTCAGTAGTTTAAAAATGCATTTTCATTTTTTTCCAGGTTTAAAATAGATAAAAATTATGTAGGAACTCCACCAGCTTTAGAAATAACAATAGCAAACCTGAATGACAACATTGATAAGGCTTTTTTAGCTGATATGATGAATAAAGTTGGCCCTTATGAAGAATTGACCATATTCTACCATCCAATGACAAATAGACATTTGGGATTTGCAAGAATAGTGTTTCAAGATGTGAAATATTCAAAGCTATGTATAGAAAAGTATAATGGCAAATCTGTTATGGGTCAGGTAAGTGATGATTTACTGTATCAATTTCTTCCTATCACAAACCCCAGTACTTAACATTTGACTATGTCCCCACAGTACACAAAATAAGTATGACAATTCTACAGTAGGGAGACATGCCCATTCTTCCATTGCATACTGTACCACGACAACAACACTGAGCTATCTTTATCCCTAACGATGCTGCTACTGTTTTGTATTATTTTGTGTTTATTATTTTTAATATTTCAATTGAAGTACTAGAATCCGTGGCCATGAAATTAATTTCAAATTAATATTAAAAAATATGGCTTTATGCGGCTTGCCTGTAAGTTATTGGTTTGATTTAGTCTAGTGCATTAGAAATGAAAGTACATCTGATGGGATTCCTTCAGAATAATAATTATGTGCAGGTGCTAGAAGTCTTCCATGATCCATTTGGCAAGGTATGTCAGGAGATGTACGAAGATAAGACAATGGAGAGAAAGCTGCACCCTGCACCGGCAGCTATCAAACCTCCTATTGTTGAAGATGTGAGAGCAACTAAAGTTGACCCCACACTCAGCAAGAGATTAGAGGATCCTAAGATTACTGAAAAGGTATGACGAATTATTGTCTTTTGGCACTATAATTTGACATGTATGTTATTTTATTACAGTAAATTACAAGCACATGGGACTTCTATTCTTGTTATCACAGGGTGACGGGTGCTGTGGCATTGCCTCTCAGGTCTTTGCAATTTAAAGCTCTGAGTGGCACTGCAACTGGTATGGTCAGGTGTGTCGCCTTCCACCAGGTGCACGACTTGTTCATCCCATCATTTGGTGCCAAATAATAACATAAAAAAAAATGCATGGAATAAACAAGCTTGTGGAAGTGTGAAGAGGGCATTCCCTTATGGTCATAGTTATGTATAACAAAATTATTAATTAAAGCACTTTTGATGTTTATAGGATTTCTAGCTTTAAAGACGCTTTTAAATTAGGCGCTTGTAGAATCGCTGCAGTGACGCCATTACTAACATTCATGCTACATTTAGAAGCGCAGCTGCAGCGCCATTGTCGCGCCTCTTTTGCAGACTAGATTTCTTTTTTTAATTTATTGCTAGCCATGGAAACAAACTCCTTCAGCCGAAAACATAAACGTTTAATTATATTTCTGTAAATATGGCCACCACAAAGAGGATAGGCAATTTGAGGCGGCGTGCTTGGATTGACTCGGGATTCCTTAGAACGGGCCGATACGGGTATTTTAGTTCGAGATTCGTATAATTTCGCGTTTTAATCTTCGATTAAGGCACAATAGCACTATCCTATTTCACTTTAAACTAGATTTCACAAAATAATTAAACGTCAAAATAAAAACGACACTTTTCCCTCCAAAAGGCCGAGCGAATCCCTTGCAGACTAGATATTGTACAGTGTTGCCAGATTTTTGCGAAGTTAATTCGCATAAAATTTGTAATTCCCCAGACATTTTATTAAGTAGCCTAAAATCGCCTTTTCCTATTTGAAACATTGTCTAAATATCGCCGAGAGTCGCCGATCACTTTTTTAGTCGCCGCGCGACCCCTCAATGTTGCCGGCAACAGCGATATTGTAAGAGAATTAGTAGTAGCACGGCTGCAGCGCTTCGACAATCGGTTGAATATGAAGGAGCTCTTAATAAATTCTTATAGGAACTATTCATTATAGCGCCATCTAGTGTTGAGTAATGGAACTTCTAAAGCAATTACTGTTTATAGAATAAGATGTAGTATGATGAGTTTTGACGATAGCAATAGCATAATACATAAGACAAGTAGTGCAACGCGAGTGCCTATACTTTGCTCGCAGTGTAGGGTTGTCACATTATTATTTTAGTTGTAAACATAACTTGAAAAAATTAAGGTTCACCATTCATTGTATTCTTGTGCCATATTAAATACATATTACATACATATTGATATTTTTATACCAGTTTTGCGGATTGGTATCTTGATTATAGGAGTATAATTATGGAATAGAAATGAAATACTGAACAATTCTGAATTTGAAGCACACCAAACACATCTGTTATGATTGTTAACAATGGAGTAATTTCACTAGAAATACATGAATATCATGGTAGTAAAACGTCATGTTACTCAATAAAATCAATAATGTACACGTCTACAGCTGGTTGATGTCATTTTTTAAACACAGAGCGAATGTTTCAATTCTATACGACCCGTACTATGCAACTAAATCTACATAATGTTTTCTGACCATCCACAATTATTGTGACAATAAATGGTAACATTGATTATGAACACATATTCAGTATATAATTATTTTCTAAAATACAAATTTTTTTTTGTTGACAATTGCGATTTTAGGAAGCATATCCTCGGGCGTATAAAGACGTGGAACCTAGTGACAGCAATGCGCGATGGTCCGATGAAGAACGAGAGTACAGGCATCGCCATCGTAGCCGCGGAGATCGCGATCGGGACAAGGACCGTTCAGAGCGCGACAGGGACCGCGATAGAGATAGGTAAGTACCAATGTCACGAATACATTTGCATAGCAACGTATAATAATAAATGACCATCTTGGAAGTATTTTCGCGTTTTCTATAAATTTACATAGGGACCGTAATATAGTGGGGACCATGAAGAGATGAGTGCAAAGTCAAAAGGAAGATCGTCTGCGAGCGTCTGCTAGAGACGCCAATGACATTTCATTAAATAATACTTTAGAGAAAGGCATCAGTCTAGATACATTCCTGTCTGTCGAACAGCGTCTCTGACCTCAGATATTTCCGGCTATAACAGACGGATCAGTCAGTGTCAGCGTCGGTCTCTACCTGATACTGACGCTGAATCAGACTCTGATCCGACCAAAGTTGACTACTGCGACTCGCTCTGGCCGTGTATCAACGCCACCTGATACTTACAATAGTGCATATTCTTATTTTTGATAATTACCTATTAAACTTTATATTATAATGGATGTTTAGTCGAAACTTCCGGTTCCTTCCCTTCTGGTGTATAGAGTCACGAACAGTACAGTTGAACACCAAATAGAAGTTGAAAAACAACATATAATAAAAATATATAAAATTAACCTTGGAAGTATTTTTGAGTTTTACATATCCGTAAAAACCAAATCAAAATCATATCAAACTATGTGTCATGAGTAAAACAGCGGGTTTATTGTGGCAGAGAGATATCTGCACTCGCGGTATTGTTTACGTAAATACACAATTGGACTAACATTCAATATCCCATTCTAATTTCGCAAGCGGCCGCTGCAAGAGGAAGTGTAGACGCAAGTAGGTATCATTTACAATGACGTGTCCATGCATGATGTAGTTACCTCCTAAGGGATAGCATGTTATTCTTTATCTAGTTAGTTCTTTTACTCTAAAAAAGCTTAAAAAGCGATTATGTTAAGAGATGGTTTGTACAATTTTGCGTACTTTTGGCTGTCTTCACTTTTATTATGAATATAAAGATGGAACAAACACAAAGAACAATTATTTTGATCTGACTAGAGTCGAACCATCGTTTGTTGCCTCGCTGTGGCTATTGATTTTACCAACTGAACTACAGACTGAGTCAGCAGACCTTACGACTCTCTCTCTCTCTATGTGCTTGTTGCTTGTCTTTATAGTAATAACAAACTAATGAAGTATTTTCACAAAAGTGTATGAATATCATGGTAGTGAAAATATCATAATATTCAAAAAGATTGTCCTCATTTTTGTTTACGAGCTTAGCTTTTATAAAATGCAGTCAGATAAACTTTTACTTTGTTTTGTATAAACAATAATTATAGATGAGCTGTACTGCATGCCATACTTAGCAACGCGCTTGTAGTAAAAGCGTGTCTTGTTTAGGATAATATTATCAAATTCGTCCGTGCATTGAATGTAATTCGACCCTTATATAAGCGTAATGATATATTTACCTTATTTCTCATTTATTAATTTGGCATTGCTATGGAGCTATTATTAACTGATAAAGATAACAAATAATGCCACGTTACTGAAAATCAGGATTTTTTTTTAAACCAATGATTTTTTTGTAGTCAATTTTATAAATTGCATTTGAAATAGAAATTGACCAAAAATCCATTGTGTTAAAAAAAAAATTAGTAATTAGCAAAAACGTGCTTGATCTCTATACACCGTTGATGAGTGTACTTAAACAAATAAGGAAGCAAAAAAGAATAATTACTCTATTTTGTTCTTTTATTAATATTAATCAATAGAATATGCTTTCCTTAATTTTCGATTGTACAAATTTGAACTAGTGTAAATATAAGCAAAATTCTACGTAAAACTAAAGAAAAAACAAATTAACTGGGATGTGAACTTGCGGCTTGCCTGTAGCCGCAAGTGTAATCGCAAGCAGACTGTCCACTAGGCTGCTAAGTATCATTAGTACTAAATAATTTGTTGTGGATCATATATTTAATGCATCTTATATTTAAGGTGAGCACCTTAAATATAAGATGAGGCAACATTTATAAATTTTATAAAGATTTTACTCTTCATAAAATTTAAAAATTTATAAATGTTGCTTCGTTCTCGTTCGCTCTTTAGAAATATCATGAGTCCTACAGTATCCATAATACGCTGTTAATTTAGCGTTACGTCTTTTCTATCCCGTATAACATTATGGTCAATGCTATAAAGAATTAAAAACTAATTAATTAAAAACTGTGAACACAAAATACTATAATTGTATAATATAATTTTTTTCCCTGGTTATTTTTCATTTTTTATTATTTATTTATTGAGCATTGGCTATAGAGTCATCAGGTAACAAATAACTAAGAAATTCGAATCGTATTAGTTACTTAAACTAAAAATTTAACTAATTTTAAAAACCCACCAATTTTTTCTTTTTCTTATTTCTCATTGCGCATCCGCTATTGGATAGATACCGCGAGCGGTACGCGCGCAGTGCGAGCGAGACTGGTGAGCCATTCGCGGCGCCCAGTCACACCACCGACGTGCCGTACACACCCGCCGCGTCTGCATCCGCGCCCGCGCCCACGCCCGTCGCTTACGACTCTTATTACCAACCAGGGTAAGTAACACTTATCGGTGACTCAGATTTAGTAGAGGCGAAGCTGCAAAGCCTTGAATACCGCCATAACATTGCCCGCTTATAAGTATAATATTCTAGGTGAGAGTGGATAGGCATTATATAGGCGTGCATGCTTCATCGTCGACCTCGTTGTCACTTTCCATCAGATGAGGTGGAGGTCAAATGCCCGTTTACTTTAAACAAAAAAATATTCTAGTCTAATCAACTAGAGCCAGCTACGAATTCAGCAGTAACGAATTTTAGATGTAACTTTAACCTTTCAGAAAACCTGCAGCTAGAATATTGGCATATTTATTTAGACTCCCGTTCGTCATCACTTTTACTTCATTTTGACATAGTTGAAGACATTGATGACAAACAAATCTGCAGTAAGAAAACACTTTAAATTATATTAATGATTAATATCTTGGCAACTAGGTTAGCTCGGCGAGATTAATGTAGAAATTGCATTATTTTATAGTGTGGCTTAATGTATGTTTCTTCTTTTTATAATGTATTGTTAATCGATCCAGGTATGCTTATACGGGGTACAGCGGTAGCAGCGCCGGCAGCACTGCTACGCCTGGCGGCAGCGGCGTGTGGTGGCCTGACTGGCGGCATCCACACCACACCCCCCACACGCCCGCACCGCATCACCACCATTCACATGTAATTACTTAGCACAAACAATCTGTGTACAATCTTACTCAAAAATATTAACAAACCGTCGAGTGTGATCACAAAAGACAAAGAAAAGAAGTTACATTCAAACAGGAGACTAACGCGACAGAGCTCAAAGCATAAAAGAAAGCAGCGTATTTGTAACACGAAAATGACTGCAGCATTTTAATCTATAACAAATTAATATACCGCGTTACCTATATATACTATTATGTAAAGAGTTCAGAACACCCCAAAAAGTGACCATAATTTCTGACTATGTGGTATTATACACCTACTGACTATTGTGTATTACATTTTTATTCCATCAAACACAGTGTTTTGTCCTGTTTTCATCTGTGTGAATACATCATCTACTAACAAACAGCTAATTTTGGCCGATTCCATCTTAGTGTGGTCTTGATCACTTTTAAACATCTGTTAGAAGTAAAACACTAAAAGCAAAATCTTCAATATACCACCACAACTTGTTTATTATTTAGAACACGGTTCCTTGAAGGTTTCGGATAGCTTCACTTTGCTTTAATTCATGATCATGATACTTAATTATGAAAAAATATGGGACAATTTTCACCAGTGGTTTTATGATATTTGTCACGGTGTGATCTCCTTAGTATTCTGGAAATTAGCTCACTGGAAGTGTAGGCATTCCAAGATTGAAGGGATATAGTGAATCAATGTAACATAACGGTCATACGAAAGCTGGAGCGACGATCCAGCGCGACGCCGGCAGCGGCGTGGACGGCGCCTGTCACCCCCGCCACCCCCGCCGCCAAAGAGCGCGCCTCGCCAGAGCCCAAGGACAAAAAGGAGAAGGAGAAGGAGAAAGAAAAAGAAAAGGAGAAGGTCCGCACCGCACATTATGCACAATGTTTAGTGTACTCGATGCAAAATATGTTTCTTTTGTTTTCTTCACATTTTTTTCGTCACACTATATTGCACTATAGTGCAATTTGGTGCTTATGAAAGTACTCTCTTGTTACTGAATCGCGCGAACATTGTGCTTAACTGTTTTGATTACAATCGTAATCATGGCCGACAAGCAGTACCTCTACTGACTACTTAATCTTGGTCACGATAATAACATGTTCTACTATTATTATTCATAGAAAAACTGAACAAATATAAAACATAATTTCTTCGATCTGATTGGACACGAACTAGCGGCTGTTTGCCAAACCGGGTCTATAAACTGTCGCTGGTTTCAATAACAATGATGTTTATTAAATTTCATTCACAAAAGCAGCTTATGAGCTAATTAAATTTATGTGACAATACAATTTTGTGATATCAATCGAGTGTGGTTTGTTTCTAAACGGATAGAAGGAATTTTTCTATGTTTGTTCGATCTTCGATTTTTAGTAGCAGTAGAGCCCCTTGTGAAAGAGTTTGTAGAGGGAAGTACTACCACCTTACCTAATTTTACCGCTAAGCAGTAAATGTCATCATTGCTGTGTTCCGGTTTTGAAGGGTAATGGTGCAATTACAGGTACATGGAACCTGGCAGAGTGACGGGCGCAGTGGCAATGCCCCTCAGATCTTTGCGATTTAAAGCTTTGAGTGGCACTGCAGCTGCTGTGGACAGGCGTGTAGCTTACCATTAGGCGCACGACTAGTTCGTCCCGTCACTTGATGTTATAAAAAACAAAAAAGTATCTTTGTATCGTTAATAACAACAAACTAGTGAAATACAATACATACTATATACATGTATCACACGATGATATTCAATAACTAGTGACATTGCAAGTTTTTTGGAAAAGTTACTTTAGTGTTACGTACGTAAAGTTTAATTCTCATCACAAAGTTTTCAAATTGTAATTTGCATCGAGTAACGTGTAGCTTGTTGTAGTCGGTGTCGCATCGGTGGTAGTGGGATATACAGTAGTCAAGTGTGCAAGCAGACTTATTGGCTCGGTTTAGCTATAATACCTGGTTGATGTGAGGTATCAATGGAAGCGTGCACTGCATAGTCTAATAGCAAAGCACAAATTTAATTACATATTTATGTACAGTGTTTAATATAATTGTGTAGATTAGAAAGCATGTTAATTAACTATTTGTGATGCCATATTTACAAGAACTGATTAAAATCTTGTGTACATTTGTAACAATTGCGGTTTTGAATGTACACAACAGGGATGTCGTCGATGTGGGTTATGATGACATCTGCAGATGCGGATGTGGGTGCGAATTTTTTATCTGCAGATGCGGATGTGAAGAAAAAGTTCTGTTTTTTATAGTTCATGTAGATCATTCGTAGATTTGGTGATCAGTGAACTATCATTAATTTAAGTAAAAGATAATATTTTTTTAGCAAAAGAGACGAAAGCCAGGAGGCATCAAAATATTTTGACATTTATTAATACTTATATTTTTTAAAGATATCGTGGGCCGTCCTTTATGCGAATAGAGCTGGGCCATCTTGAATGAAAAGGTTCATAAGTAAAGGTGACCTACGGGAAGAAATAATTGCCTGCGGTCCACACAGGTGAACCAGTCAGGTGGTCCACGGGCAAGAAGTGGTAAACGAAACTCAATAACTTTTGTTTTGAAAATAAACAGGTTGCACTACACGCAGCCAAATTCTCGATCCTTGATTGCCTAATTAGCACTAGTACTCGGTACAGGTTTTGAATGGAGCTTGACGATCTTGTCGTGAGCTGCACAACATCCGTATCCGCAAAAACTCTGCATCGATTGATTCGGATGTCGGATGGACGGAAGCATATATTTAAAAATATGCGGATGATCCACGGTTGCGGATGCATACATCTGCGGCATCCCTAGTACACACGTTATCGCAAGATACTCAAATGAATGTAAATTTGGCATTTACGTTTTATTTGTATTATACTGGTGTAGGTAAAAACATTTAAGTAGTCCTGCACTATGTACTAAATTGTACATAATTTACATTTATTTAGATTAATACTTGCGTAGACTATTGTAACAATGTTTTCGGTGTAGTTAAATGAAATAAGTACTTAAGGGTGTATAAGGTAGAGGCTATAGCACGCTTTTGCACGGCATCCTGCATGGTGTAATTCTATTTGCGAACATCGTTGCATCTGTTTCAATATTTAATTCTATTTATGTATTATATATATATTTAAATTGTACTACTTCTCTGACTAGTACATGAAACATTTTACAATTCTAAAAGATCTCAATTTCATATTGTCCATTTAGGGAGGGATCAGGATTCCTTATAACCAACCTTTACAGTCTAGATAGAGGTTAAGAGCTGACTTTACACGAACACTAAAAAATATTGAATTATGATACACGGTGTTTATACGAATCATTTGCCAGTTATATAAAGAGATGGTTTCCTAAACTAACCTAAACCTCTTCCAAAGTAGATATGGACAAACAGGATGTTCTGCAATGTTGTCTTACTACAAAAGTTGATGCAATGATGTGGTGTCTAAATATATAATCTACCACTACCATAGGACATAAAATGTTACCAAATAATATATTCAGAAATAGACTTTGTGTTGTTTAAAACAAATTATTACAAATACTTCTAATATAAATGTGCATATAAAATTAAATGTGAGTGAAGAAATAGATTTCTTACAATTGTGCTACGGCAAAAAGTAATTAAAAACAAAGCTCTGCAACAAGCACAGAAAAACTCTTGAGATCCGTTGGTTCGTTCCGTCGTTGCTTAGTTGGTATACCGTCTAGCACGATTTGCTGGGAGCTGCTGATTCGAATCCAGCCGGATCGAAATATGTTTTTCTTGTTGTTAGATCTTTGTATTAATCATTATCACTAGTGGAGTGACTTCACAAAAATAATTGAATATCATAGTAAATCATCGTGACATTCATTAAAAACTTAAAAATTAAATGTAAATATTTAATTGTTTGACATTGATAATTTATTATTTTATTAATATTAATTAACTAAATATTCCTTGTGCATGTCCAATTGTATTATTATAATTCAATTCATTTTAAGTAAAAATTTGCATGCCTAACCATGTAAAATATGTGTTCTATCATAAATTTAATACTATGTTCCATCTTTCATTCATCATATTTTAAACCAATAAAAATACATTTCATAATAATAAAAATAATTACTTCAATCGTCTTTTAATTTTGATTAAACGTTCTGGCATTTTTTATTATTTGTGGCCAGTGCTTCATATGAACGTTGTTTTCATAATTCAATCTGTTTTAGCTCTATGTCCATGAATATAGCGTATATTCATATATAAATGAGGATTGAATTGGTAATCATTGCACATAGGAAGTGGTACCCGAGGTCACAGTGGTGGAAGAGCCGGAACCGCGGCCGCCGGAGGAAGCGGCGGAAAGCACGGAGCCCGAACCCAAACCGCCGCCGCCACCTCAGGACGAACCCAAGAACGTCGACCTCGATACAAGGTACGCATAGACACCTTATTCAATGACAAATTAACATCTAGACATAAAACAGAAATAAACACCTTTCCTTTCAGTGTTGTAGAGAGCATTAGACGTAAAAACAGCTCGGTAATATTGTCTTTCTATTGACATATAATTAAAAGAAAAGTAATTTAAACGGCAACACTGAGCCGAAAAGACTATCAATTATTATAGTGTTTATTTTGAATATGGAGTTAAATGACAGTTAATCGCACGAAAGTGTTGTCCGCTTACAAGCAGCTAGTGATTGCAGTCGTAGATTACAGGCAAGAAATCGGTTTATGCGGATGTTTTGTCTATATTTGTATAGTGCACTATACAATTACAGATTAAACTATTTGTATAGTGTACAATAAGGCAATAATTTGCCTTAGAATAAGAACGTGCATCTGCACTTCACGAATTGATTTCGATACTAGTGGGCCAACTGTCAAAATAATAATAAAGAAGGTAAAAACGCAATTATTAATCATTAGAGTGTCTCTTAACGTTATGTTCATATTATTATTTTTTTCTTTTTTTTTGCTAAATTTTGTCTTCTTTCACAATCTATCGATAAATCTGTCGACCACAACTACAACACTGTTTAGACTTTAATAAAAACTGGCAACCCTGCAAATGTTATTTTACTCATTTTACATCTTTAATAAAGACAGTATTTGGTTAACCTACCGTCATTTGAACAGTGATAAATAAATTGTAACTTTTTTGTTAGTAAAATATTTTCTTTTAAATCATTATCTTCTTTTATATTTTCTTCTTTTATATTATACATATATAGTTTTACTCTTAACTGACACTATCCCTATACGTCATACAGAATAGCGATGCTGCTAAAAGGCGCGGGTAGCGCAGGCGCCGGTGGGTTGGCACCGCCTTTTCTTACGCTGGGTATGTCATCTGAAGAGGAAGACGATGAGCGCGTGCCGCCACCCTTGCCTGCCAACATACCTGACCTTGATGCACATCAACCCTCTTCAGATGATGAAGGTATAGTAAACATAGTAAATCAGAAATTTAAACTTTTTAGCACCAGCTCCTTGTGAAAGAATTCGTACAGGGAAGTACTGCTACCTTACCTACCGCCATATAATGTGAGTATATGTAGTAATGCGTTCCGGTTTTGAAGGGCTACAGGCCCATAAGACTTGTCACCTTTATGTCTTAGGGTGCCGAGTGCAGTGACAGTGCCTCTCAGGTCTTTAACGATTTAAAGCTCCCAGTGGCACTGTAACTTATGGATAGGCGTCTCGATTACCACTAGACGCACGACTTGTGCGTCCTGTCACTTAATGCTATGAAAAATAAGTGTTTTAAACACAATGTATAGCCCTCACACCCGTCGACCAATCCCGTCGGTGTTTATACAGTTTATTGATACACAAGACAAAGATGGAACTGAACGCACTGCTAGACAGTTTCGCAACTGAATTGCTAACCTACATTTAATTACCAGGTTCAGGCAGCGAGGACCGAGAAAGCACGGTGTCGTTTAATACGCGGAAGGAGCTTGATCCTGAGCCACTATCTACCACGCCGTCGCCGTATCTCTCGCGGGAATTCTACCTTGAGTGTATTAAGAACACTGTTGAACAGGTTCGTTGATTTAATTAGGAAATTCACCCTTCACGTGTCATGTCATCTTAGTACATGTCATGTGGATTAGATGGCTTAAAAGTTTACCATTAGTGCAATTGTTCTAATTACAAATACAATTGCATGCAGAAAGTAAAAGAGGCAGAAAGAAGAAAATTCCCGCCAATCGACAAGATCGGCTCGGATATATCGTCGTCAGAAGACGAACTTTTAACGGGCGAGGACCCAAAGCGATCGCCGACCGCCGCGCCACCTGAACCAGAAAGAGATCAGGATAATTTAGAGGATGATCAGGTAATATTTCATGTTAATTGAGATATGAACGATTCTTATGCTGCTTGACAGATGTTGTTGAAAAATTGACAAATGTTTTTTTCGTCTAGTACAAAAAGACATGCACTCTATAGTGTTAATCTGGATTATAAGCTACTCAACGAGTTTGTCAAAATGTGTCTGTCGTTACGATGTGATAGATTCAGAATTTCCATTTCATTGTAGAAGGAAAACTCGATCTAATAGCATATAATTTTGACCACTAGATGTCGCTGTCGTCGCTTTCGTCAACCGAAGCAAAGATCGAAGAGCAAGTTCCTGCGGAGGCATACTACTATGCCCCCACGCACCCCGCGCCCGCGCATCCAACACACCCCGCACACCCAACGCACCCTGTCCACCCCACTCACCCACCGCCCGCTGCGCATCCCTACTACCAGCCCGTTGCATGGCCGCCTACAGGTGAGTCTTATATGTATTGTGTTACAACGCAAAGTCGCTAAATATTATTCGTCTATTGCTTAGTCGCAAATCGGTAATATTTTTGTAGTCCGTCAAAATAAACTGGCCAACAACATAAGTAACGTCTAGGACTTCATAGGTTTCATAAACTTGTGCTTTCCAGCGTATCCCCCACCTGGTTACCCCGCTCCAGCGGACATAGCTATAGCGTACAGCGGCGGTTTCGCGGCGCCACCTATTTTAACACATCACTACCAAGCGTATCCTGAACCAGTAGTCCCTACACAGGTGTGTAATTAGTTGTACATTAAATATACGTCAAATATGTGTTAGCAATTATAATGTTATTAATTAAGGAATGTCCTCGTAAATATTCGGGATAAAAAGTTTTGCTTGTTTCGTGAAACAATGCTGGCTATCATTTTAATAGCTTGTTAACCTGTGATAATCAAAGACGTATTCCTTTTTTTTTTACATACAATGACGTTATGCCCTAGGAGTGTGACAACCCCTACTACTCCACAATAAACAGCGTAATCGAGCGAGTAACGGCCGAACTCAAGATGATTCTAAAGAAGGACTTCAATAAGAAGATGATCGAAAGCACAGCCTTCAAGAGCTTCGAAGGGTGGTGGGATGAACAGAGCCGCAAGACTAGGCAGGCCAAGCCATCACAAGAACCTGGACAGCCGTTACAGGTACAATTGAAGGAGAATAAATCATTTCGCACACACACTTTCGCAACAGTTTGGCGCCTAATACAAACAAGCCTTTTATAACTTTGCCTGTTGATATGTACCCTTCATTCTTAGACAGCTAATGCAGGTTAAAATCTACTTATAATTTGTCTCGATGGCCAAACTATTTATATATTTGCCTGAACATAAAAACTCTGCTTCTCAGGACATCTCAAACAAAAAAGAAGAGATGGTCGACTCTATTAAGTCGATAATGGAATCGCGAGACCTCGGATTGGAGTTAGGTGGCTACGGAGCAGGCATAGGACTAGGTCTTCGGGCGGCTATACCGAAGATGCCTAGCTTCAGACGCAAGAGAAAAATACCCTCACCTATTGTTATGGACGAGGACTCTAATAAACGCTTCAGTGATCAAGTACGTACGATTTAAACAACCATGTTTTGTGTAGAAAACCATACCTGTTAATGCTAGTTAAGCTTTAAAAATTTTGAATATAACTACAATATAGGTAATACCAATGTTTCGTGACAGGAGGAAATCGTGCAGAACTCTGATGAAGAGAAGGAGGTACCAACGAGTCCAAGGAACAGGACGACTGGCTCGTACTTGTCGAGGAGTCGACGGCGGCAGTCCAGTAGCTCTTCGTTAGTATTACAACCAGTTTTACTCTTTAGTCATAGTTTATCCGCTATCAGTTTTGGCGTCGATCGTATGCGATCATTTTCCAAACAGGCTCAGTTTTTTGGCGCCCAGCAAATGAGCTGAAAAATCGAACGCACTCGTAAGTCAAGCGTGCGTGTATTTTATCTCGCATTTAAATGCTTGTACTCATTCACAGGTCATCAGCATCATCTTCGACTCGGTCGTCGTCGGAATCAGAATCAGAGCCGGAGCGGAAAGGTGCCGCACCGCGTTTATACTCCGATTCCGAGGATGACTCCGATCTCAATGAGGCTGAAGTAAGTATCGCCACTTTGTAGGTTTTTGAATACAGAGTAGACTCTAAGACCTACTGATGTACGTTGTGACATTGAGAGTCGCCAAAAGAAAATTAGTTAGTAGAAATACATTTATTCGTTTGTGGAAAGACACTGAACTAACTAAAGGACGAGCACAGCACTACACATTGTGCAATGACAAGGAAACCATAGAGATGTCGCTGAAAACCCCCCAGCATCTTTGTGAGAGGTGCTCTGAATGAACCTCTGAACTTCTGATCTAACAAAATTGAGTCGATTGCAGTAGATAGTAATCGTGGGGTACTGAACCGATGAAAGCTATGTGTCCTTAGCTACTGTGGGTGTGCATCGAATCGACGCGTGACAAATTTATAGTTGTAGAATGAATTATTGTGTTTAAACATGTCAGTAAAGTGAGCTCTGTGTCCTTCCAAGCCGTTGACATCACTTATCAATAGTGCCAAAGTAAAACAAATTAGTAAAAGCCATAGCCACAATACAATGTGTTGATTTACATTCTCGCCATATTTACAGAGGTCCATTCTATATCCGAAAATGAACCTTATCACTAAAAAAATAAATCGAAAAAAAAAAATTTCGTAAATTCCTATTTTTTATTTAATTGCGGTAAACAAATTTGATTCAAAGGTCCATTGATTTGCACGGCACTTGTAAACATTTTGAACAATTACCTTAAATGCGCAAAGAGAAACGCATTTTAGATCTATTTGGTGATGGGGTGCGAGTAGCGACGGCGGGGGAGTGTCGTACCCAACGCGCGATTGATAGATCAATCGACCTTACTTCCCGTACTGTGTCTACATCACGCTGACGGGATGTCATCCATTCTATTCTAGTCTGTCACGAAATGCCACGTGGTTTGGTATTTAAACAAGAGTAACTAGCGCAAAAAAGAATCGCTACCAGGTAGGTTCTGGTGAACACCAGAACCTACATGGTAATCCATCAAGTACAAGTGCGTGTTTCTTGTTATGGCATGATGTGAAACGTTTAGTTTACGCGGAGGATACGAGTGTCGAAGTTTCTGCTTTTAAAGTTGTAGAGTCTAATGAGTCTAATGTTGCAACGAAACTCACCTGCGAATTTCTGCATAACTGGTAGTGGCTCCAGTACGGAGCCAGCCACCAGCTGTGGAGCTAGGTACTTCTAGCAATAGTTTCGTGTAACCTGAAGTTGATAAGTACCAAATCTAAGTTACAAAAAACTTTTCTAATTATTGTAAATTAATAGTAAATTATAACAATACTAGTACATAATCAGATTTCAAAAAGTAGGTGAATAAGCGATCGAGAAAGATTACGTATCCCTCGGTGAAGTGGGTGGCGGGGTCACTGCCCTTGCTTTGGTGCAAATGACTTGACTAGATACAATTAGCTAGAAAATTGAATGAAATATTTTTTAAAATATTTTTAGATGATTTACCATTATTTCTATTATTATTCAATATGGCGTTTCTTAAATATGGCGAGAATGCCTATCAACACACTGTATAAAAGTGGGTAGTGTTAAGTTCATTTACTCAACAAATATTTCCTGACATCTAGTGTCAGTAAGTTTTAAAAAATGTGTTCAGGGAATTAATTTTGGTGAATAAATTTAATAGGGATATAATTTTGAACTATTTTTTATTAATTTTCTAGCTTAAAGTTGTATCAAACAAGGAGAGGCTACGGCGGGTATACTCATCGTCATCCGATAGCGAAGAGGAACAAAGCAGAAGAGGTAAATTTCTTATTATCACTATATGATCTTGTTAGCCTGTATATCGTTTTCTCTGTCACAATCGCAATCGTATTGAATATCCATTAGTATGTTGAGATGAAAATGCAAAAGAAACTTCCTATAAAGGAAACAGTAAATGAATCAGACTTCTTTACTTCTGGTTGATTGGCAGAACCATCGTCGCATTTTTATTATCGTCCCATTTTTATCATCGTGATCAAAATTTTCAGAGAAAACCCCAATACCTCCCGTGGAAGCGTCAGACGATCGTCTTGGATCCCCAATCCTTTCTCCAGAAGAAGAACCGAAAGATCCGATCCTGGATCGCGTATATTCCGACTCTGAAGAGGAACGGGAGTACCAGGAGAGGAGGAGACGGAACACCGAGTACATGGAACAGATCGAGCGAGAATTCCTCGAAGAACAAAGGAAAAACATGGAATCAGATCTTCGACCGCAGCCTGAGAAACCGCCTGACGAAAGGTATGTTCTTAATTTTACAAAAAAATACTATAATATTAGGTATCGCTCTGTTCTTTTTGAATTATAACTATTAAGCAAAGAATCGTATCAAAACCTACAGTCGCTCTTTATTATTAATATCGACGAAGCCAATAACTTTGTTCTTAACCTATTAATTTCTAGACAAACTTTCTGAAGTTCAGTGTAACTTAGTGTGCATGCGCAGCGCTTAAAATACCGTGAACTTTGTGAAATATGGAACCGATTGATTTTTGTAATTATAGCAAATTGGAAAGCAAAAAGGAGGAACCCAAAAGCAGTCCCATCAAAAACCATCTCAAGTCTCCTGAAAAGAGTAAACCGGAAACAGAGGTCGAAGAGGGCGAGATCACTTCCGAGGAGGAACCGCTCGATGTGCGGCGCAAAAAAGAGCGCAAGCAGAGAAAGGAGCGGAAAGAAAGGAAGAGCGATAAGCGACAGCGGATCGTGTCACTTAGCGAGCATAGTAACACTGATGCTGTTAGTATCAACGGGGTTAAGGAGGTGAGGTTTTACTTGTATTAGAAATTACTGGCAATACACTTATGCAAGTAGTACCTGTATCCACCCAAACTTGTCGAACTCTGGGTACTATTCGACTAAAAGACATGACGTAAAGTCGTGTACGTTGATAACCGAATCTAGATCTAGAATTTCACTTCAGTGGAACCATCAGCTGTAATTTTTTAATATATTACAAACCTGTTATATGGCGTAAAGAAACGAATTTTATTTCGTTTATTTGAAACTGTTCTTTTAGTCAATCAATAGGTAATATTTGATTGAAATGGAAATTTACTTTATTTAATCAAACTTGTGTATCTGGGACTTAACAGATCAGCAGCGCAGTGTCCGAGACGTCGTCACCGCAATCTCAAGCGTCGCAAGCGTCACAGGCATCACAAGTGGCGCTTGATCACTCGTACTGCCGTCCTCCGCCCGACCAAGAGGAGAGAAGGCCCTCCAATCATCTGCAGCATGATCATGGTCAGTTCCTATAAGTGTATCTTAAGTGTTTTTTATGTTAAAACTTCTTATTAATCCTATTTCAACATATTCCTTCATCTTAAATTCTATATTTTGTGAGAGTTTAGTGATATGCCCAAATAATCATGACATTTAACATTGAAAAGGTTACACGTGGATGGCAGAGCCAGAGATTGAATCTCCCAAGGAGGAAGTCAAACCTAAAGAGAAAACGAAGAGGCCCTACAAACGAAAGTACGAGACCAAGAAACTCGCGGAAATACAGAATAAGTAAGTACTTACATTAAAGCTCAATTTACATTGCCGCGTAACGGGAGTGGAAGCGAATTTTTGTCATGAAATGGTACATAACATATTGATCTTTATGTCAGTTGGTTAACGTATAAACTAGATACGATAGGTGCAACATGTTGGCCCGTAGGTTCGCTCGATGTACGAAGGAAGTAAAGGTAACGCTGTTTACAGCGTATGTCAATCTTTTCACATTTATAACCTATGGGCTAAATACTTGCAGGGGGCGTACAACGCTCCATGTATACAATAATGCTTTTAAGATCTTGTTGGGATTGCCGCGTTTCTGTAGCGCCTCTGGCATGTTCACCGAAGCGCGAATAAATGGTTTCCATGCCATCAACCATTTGAACAGATTCGCTTCGGTTGTAAGCAGACTACGCGCCAGCTCGAACGGGATCCTAAATATTATTGCGGACAGGTGAGACAGTCCCATGCTAGAGCGATAGGGTGTGCCTGCGTGCGCCTGTATCTCGCCTTTTAAATTAAAAATAACACTAGTTATTAAGAAATAGTTTGTTACTAATCATCATGAACCAAGTCTCTGAAACAAATCATTGTTTTATTATTATTATTGTGATACGGGAATTCTCGATACTGCGAGAATTTTCCGGAAGGCACGCAATTTGTTTTTTTTTTTGTTTGTATGTAGTTTGTACGTTACACAATTGTCATTACGTTCGCGAGTGCCGAGATATAAGTTGTGCCGTATGACCAGATTTAGAGTATATAATGATGGCCATAAATTGGCCCTCAATTATCGCCATAAATTGGCTCTCGGTGGACTCATTATAATAAACAAGTGTTAGCATTTTTTTTATAAACCTATTCTGTCCCACTGCTGGGCTAAGGCGTCCATTCTCGTTCTTGGGCAACATCTGGCCTACTTTGGAGTCTAAGTGATCCCGCCATCGTCGACATGGTCTACCGCGTCTCCTTATTGAGTTGTTGGGTTTTCCCTCCGTGGTTGTCTTGGCTCACAACTCGCTCGATATGCGGCAGACGTGACCATACCAGTACCACTTCAACTTGGCAATTATTATGAATAATGTAAACAATCGTTGTTTGGCAATTTTCTAATTGTTTAGTTTGCTCGAAGACGTCGGTCCCGATCCGGCCGGATCGTGGGATTTTTTTCTAAGTGACCTTTGTATTCAAAATTATAACGAACTAGTGCAGTGATTTCACAAAAAAAAATATTGAATATACAAATTTACTTACAATTAATGGCGACATCTCTAGCCAGGGCTGGTAACTGTAAAGTTACCTAACTGGGTGACGAAATACTTTCATAGATTTCTCATAGATGGCGTTACGGCTAAAAAGTTGTTGAAAACCAAATACAAAGATGTGACAACAACCACATAGAAAAATTCGTGAGATTCGCTGGTTCATTCCGTGGCTTAGTTGGTATAGCGTCTTTTTTAGGGTTTGCTAGGGTTCGAATCCGGCCGGATCGAAGAGATTTTTTATAAGTGTTTGATCTTTGTATTAATAATTATAACAAACTAGTGGAGTGATTTCACAAAAAATAATAGAATATCAATATTCAATACAAGTTTAGTTTTCTAATTATTTCAATTGCTTCGCAGGTTATACGAAACTCGTGATGACTACGACCAACTTCTACACTCGAGCGTCACGTTCAAACCTCGCGACATTATGGGCGAAATGCAAGTCATGTACGAATTCCTCACCCGTGGTATCGACAGGGAAGACGTCGAGTATCTACGCAGAGCGTACGAATCTTTACTCGCGGAAGACGCGCAAGGGTATTGGCTGAATGATACGCACTGGGTCGATCATCCGCCCACAGATGTTGTGTACGGGCCGCCTAAGAAGAAATCTAAGAGACATAACAACATTTACGAGGATCTACAGGTCTGTTGTTCTAGACACTTTTTTATACTTACGCGAATGATCTTAAAAATATTTTATGAAATTAATTTTGGATCAGCTTTGAGCAATAAATTTGATAGCCTTTGGCCACACTTGTGGAGACAAAATCGCCTAAAGCCGGCCAGGAAAAGCTTTATGCTCGTGTAATAAGAACGAAAAAGACGTGCGTTTCGAGTAAGCGGTCTGAGTGGAAGCGATACTTGCAACGTGTTTTACGCTCTCATTGTATGGAATTGTACAGCCGTGGCAGCCTGATGGTTTGACCGCGTCTCAACAGAGGGTCGTATGTTCGAATCTTGCTTGCACTTCTGAGTTCTTCGGAATTTATTTGCAAAATGTAATTTGAAATTTATCATGAGCTTTTCGATGAAGAATAACATCGTGAGGAAACCTGCACATATCTGCAAAGCAATATTGTGATGTGTGTGAAGTTCCCAATTCCACATTCATTTTTTTAACAATATTACTTTAAATAATACTAAAGTACATAATTATTTTATATTTGGGCGGTATTTTCTTGTAAACAAATATATAATTAATAATTTGAAAATTAATTGAATATGAAATGCGAATAAATGAAAATAAATCGTAATATAATAATCGTTCATGAATAGTAAAATAATTACGTAAATTTAAGTAAAAAAAAATGTATGTTATACCACTTTTGCATTGATAGCTTCATATATAGGTTAACTATTTACTTATTCATAATTGCGGTGACTCCCTTTGAAGACGTTGCATTTGTAAACGACAATATTTCGAATAAATAATGAAATCCCAATTTCAACAATAGGGTCATTCAAGCGGTTCAGCTCGAACAGAAGGCTACTACAAAATGGATGCACGACTCAAAGCTAAGTACAAGTACCACCACGGGCGGAACACAGCCGTTACCGTCGAGGCGCCGGTCGAGGACAAAGCTAACAAGGCAGCGAAGATTGCGACTGCGTCGTCAAGAGAGGCTCGCTCAAATCAGAGAAGATTGCTTACTGCCTTTGGTACGTATAAAAGTAATAATTTAAGTGTCTAGTATGGCTGTGTATGGCTTTAGAGAAGTAGATTTCTGGTCATTATTTTAAAAAGTTTATCGGAGACGCTTCAAACTTCGGAATGAAATAAATAAATGTTCTTCGATATGAATTTATCGAACGTTCGATCGCGTCGTGACTCGCACAGGCAATAGCGATATAACAGCGTAAGCGCAACGCATATAAGTGTAGGCAATGATGGCATAATGGAATAAGAATAAGTGTGGTAACTTCATACAAACGTCGTAACGCAGTTTGTGTGTGTGCGCGCCCGTCACGCGTCTTGTAAGGACGTACACATTTGCTTAATCTAGCGGTGCTCGTGTGTTTAACCACCTCGGGTATATATTGGCTCGTTTTAGTCCCTCGATAAAAATGTACTATTAGATGTATGTGAAATATTTTATACTAATATTAAAAATATATAATAGATAATGACCTAATTAAACATTGATGTAGGAAACTAGCCTGCGCTGTGAACATAGCGCTAACCATCGCTACTATTTTTATTCGTAATAACTAGAATGGATATGCATTTTTTACAGCTTATTACACTGCCTTCATCCACCTACATTCAATGGCAATTCGTCTAATCTAATAATAATAACATTTCACAGGCACAGATACGGATTCAGACCTTCTTAAGTTCAACCAGCTCAAATTCAGAAAGAAACAGCTCAAGTTTGCCAAATCGGGCATTCACGACTGGGGACTTTTCGCACAGGTACATCTCATTTATTATTCATAACTATCCGTTGATCACATTCCTTTACCGATATAAGGGAAAGTCCATATATCTGACTGTGCGAAGTGAACTACATTATCCCTTCTAACCAGGAATGAAAAATGAACGTATCTCTTTATCAACCATATGGAAATGATATACGAGAGAAAGAGACAAATATCTTACTCAGAGTTTATTTTTCATTTCAGGTGAGTAAGACTACAGGTAGAGTAGTAGTAACGAAAGTCGTGTTGCAGGTACTACAATGAAGCGTTTTATTTTAAGTGCTGACTACATCCAAGCCTATTTGTATTGCTAAATGATGTTGTGCCGACGGGTTAGTCGATTTGTATATGTGAGGACGTATTCTAGAACTACATTGACACGTATATATAATTAGTATCTAAGTACCAGTAATCCGTGCGCCTTGTTCTTACAAACGCACACCTCACGGAAAAATGGCATAAGTGGAGTTACGTCAAACATGTTTATTGCTCCATTAGATATAGAAAAATATAACCCACATACTCTCCAATTCTATTAACTCTAGCTACAATATTAGACGATATAGTTACAAGAATTGGAGAGGATGTGGGTTATATTTTTCTGTATCTAATGGAGTAATAAACATTTTTGACGTAACTCCACTTATGCCATTCTTCCATGAGGAGTCGCACCCTTAATAGCAAAGTGACTAAATTCCAATTAGGTAATTTTATGAAAATAAATTTAAAAAAAATTACGTGACACCTGCCATTCATGCAATTTGACTGGTGAAAAATATGAAATACAAAACAAAATTGTATTTATTAAGAAAAAATTTATTTCGTATATATTTTGTTTCATCAGGTTCACATGTGACGATGCTGACCTCCATCGTCATCCCACCTTTTATCACCCTCTTTACTGGCTCCAGGCCACTTACTTTTAAAATTTTTAATCGTTCTCGTATTCCCTTTTCCTTCACTATTGTTACTTTGGTTCGTTCCATTACCACTCCCATCAGAATTTTCAAAACGAGAGGACGTGCTCATAAATCATCTTCATGTAAAACTCTTGATCTACTGTTAAATCATATAGATATACGTATGTAGGCTGTTTTGGGGTAAGTGTTGTCTGGATTGTTTAGTAGGGAGTGTTTTATAGTAATTGTACTTTTTATAATGATTTATTATTTTATTGTTACAACATTTTTATTTCTACCACTAAATTATACTTTCATTTAGTCACTTTATTATTTAAGGTGCGAAATGACATTTTTATTAATAACAGTATATTAATGAAAAAAATACGTACCTCAGCGAGACATGAAGTCTCTTAAATACAAGACGAAGTAGGCTCAAAGGTAATGGAAGTGCCTTGGTTTAAAAATATTCACCTTGTGTACTTAATTCATGAACTTACTGAATAAGTAAGTATACATGTTATTCGAGTGTCAAATCACCGAAATTCATCTATGACTTTCAAAAATGTTTAAATCCAGAAATCGAAATCATTGGAATGTTCTGTAACGGTCCCCCAATGAAGTCTATACACGAAAGATTTTAAACCTTGTGTTATTGCTGCTAATGATAGAACGACAAATTAACAGTAATTCTCTTGTTTTAGGCAGTAGGCAATCAGCAATCAACAAACTAAGCGTATAAAAGAATAATTACTGAAGATATTTCACAATACGTGTGAATTTTTAAAATATTTGTGACATTTTATTTCAGGAGCCCATAGCAGCGGACGAGATGGTGATCGAGTACGTGGGTCAGATGATCCGGCCGATCGTGGCGGACGTGCGGGAGGCGCATTACGAGGCAACAGGAATCGGGTCGTCGTACCTATTCCGTATCGACCTCGATACGATCATCGATGCTACCAAGTGCGGTAACCTGGCGCGTTTTATCAACCACTCTTGCAATGTGAGTACACAGATTTTTCGCGGAACTATTTTTCGGCAACTTAGTTTTTGTTCGACTAAATCACAGTTTTTTTTTTTTTTTTTCATTTTATTCTATTCACAATTAAAAAGTTTACAAAAAGGAACAATTTCTGTGTTGAGAGTAACACCTGCGATTCTTGAAATATTGCAATTGAATTTGATGCGTATTCATTATTTTTGATATTTTGTAACATAACCACTGATAGTACTGTATACACCTACATAAAAATAAAGTGCTACATAAAAAACAGATTACATACAGCTGACATTGTGTTTTGTTTATCTCACAGCCAAACTGCTACGCGAAAATTATCACAATCGAGTCGCAAAAGAAGATTGTCATATACTCAAAACAGCCGATCGGCGTCGACGAAGAAATCACTTACGATTACAAGTTCCCTCTCGAAGACGAGAAGATACCGTGCCTTTGCGGCGCTCCGCAGTGCCGCGGATTCCTCAACTAGAAGCCGATAATATTCTAGCTAGAACTATGGTACTTATTTCTATACAGTTATACTACTGATTACATTCGTTTGCAGTTTTAACAAATGCAATCATAATGCATTTGTTTATAATCTGCAAATAATTTAATTCATCAATTAGACTGAAATGAACTTATTCGCATGCATTCATGTGTGCCTTTATTATGTATCTTCAAAGCAATACAACGCGTTGTTATATTGAATCCGTCTTTCATCTTCCTAGAAAAGATACTGATAAATTTCTATGTAGTTGTTCATTATCCAATTTTTATTAGCTAAATTATTGTAGCTGGAACCGTGTAAGAGAATAATCGAAAGTTCATTGTCGTGCTGATGGATTTTGGTCAGTTTACTTAAGGGAAATAACATGTAAGAATGTACCTAGCTTAGACTATGCGCTTCTCAAAGCGGTTTCTGAAACTGCCTCAAACAAATATATGAATTTTTAGTCGTTTTTATGTAAAAAGTAATATAATTGTGTGATAGTGATGTGTGGTGTAATGTTATTTCATTTATTTGAAATGAAAACAGAATTTGTATGTATAATAAAACCATGGCATGTTCTTGTAATATAATTTGTAATGTTTTGACTGAGTCTAAGATACCGTAGACATAGGAAGTCATCAATAACATGCTAAGTAATTTGTGTTGTACATTACTTGTGAATAAAGATCTCTGCTGTTACGTCAGTTTTATGTAGTACACTTTTCAAGTACATGATCTTGTTAATTCGAATTTGTGTTATGAAGTGTTGCTTTCTTTGATTTTATCAAATAACTTTCGTTATCTCTTGAAGAGAAACGCCATTGTTAAGGAGACAATGAATAACCGATTTGTTTTCTAATCTTCTCATTGCACTTCATTATGTAAATTATATAAGATTGTAAATAAAAAATTCCAACAATTTGAACAATTAGTCTTATTTTTTACAAAAACATGGGTAAAACGTCCATACGTACGTCACCTGTTTCCGTTTTTACTTCCGCAACTTTAATAACGAAACTAATCGGAGGCTTACAACGTTCGCAGCGGATATTTCGCGTGCGCAGATTGCATGGCGGCGGGGCGCGCTTTTTAGCAGTTTTGTGTTATGCAATTCTGTGGTTTGGTACAAGAAGTGCCTAGTTTTTATTACTTTGCGCTCTTGTACCAAGCCATAGAATTATGAAATAGAAACAAGTTCCCCACACTAACTACACTTCCACTTCCCTTTCCGCTAAGACTTGTCATCTGTTTTCGCCCGTTGTATCAACTCCTTAGAGAACCGGCGGGTCACGGTTGAAAGGTGTGAAGGTTAACACACGGGTGCGGACTTGAATTTCGCTTTTCGACTTTAATTTCTCACTGAGAGTGTAAAATTGTGTCGTATTTTGTGTTGGTGGTGGTAAAAAAATAACATAGAGGTAAGTTCCCTTATGTTCTGTGATCCCAGAGACGAGGCGGAGCCCCCTAATAGGGGGCCTCGTTCTCTATCTGTATCCCCGTCCGTTAGCTTAATGGAGATCAACATCAGTGGTCAAAAGAGCAAGCGCCCTGCTTGCGCGGACATTGATAGCTCCGCTAAAAAGACGAGACTCCCGCCGCCGTCTGCGTTAGTACAACATACATATACCCTGGAGGGATAAATAAAAAGCGTATAATTGAAGGACAAGCCACTTGGGAGCCATCTGCCACTGTGGTATTGACATTTTTGGGACAGATCCTCCCGGAGAAAGTCTTTTGTTTTAATATGTCTCTCCCAGTGGACCTATATGCTCTACCCATAATTCAATGTCACAAGTGCTGCCGCTTTGGACATGTTCGTGAACAATGCCGTTCTCATCCGCGTTGCTCCAGATGCGCCCAGAATCATGATGGCTCCTCCTGCACCGTTCCAGATGATGCTGTGTCTTGCCTTCTCTGTTCTGCCTCCCATAAAGCTACAGATTCAAGGTGCCCTGAGCATGCCCGTCAAAAGCTAATCAAAAAAGTGATGGCTGAAGACAATATTGGTTACCTAGAAGCTTCCAGACGATTCGGTTCTGTTAGGAAATCATATGCTGACATGGCATCTCGTACTCAGCACCCGCAGACTCCCCCCTCTCCCCACTCCCCCCAAACAGTTAGGTCTCCTCCCTGTACCCCTGTCCGCCCACAGTCCCAGATTCCTTCCACATCTTATCGTAAGACAACTTTTACAGAAAGCCGCCGCAGACAAGAACCAACCCAAGGATATGATAGATACTCACATATCCTCATAACATCTACACCAAAATCCTTGCAACCTAATGGGTGTTCTCTCCTTAGGGACCCCTCAAATAATAATAACCCTTGTTCTACTAGTCCAAATGACAACCTGTCCGATATAACTAATTTAATAATAAATGTACTTTCCAAATTTAATGACATCTTACCGTACAATGGCCTTGAAATTATTCAAAGTATGATCTCAAAATTATTACAATCTCTTTTATCCAACAATGACACTAATTCTACAATGGAACGCCCGTAATATATAAAATAAAAAACACGAGCTTATTTTTCTGATAAATAAATATCACCCCGTAATTTTTGGTATTTCCGTGACATGGTTAAAACCGGGAGCCCTCTTCAGAGTTCCTGGCTATGCGTGCCTTCGGGATGACAGGAGTGATGGGTGGGCTGGATGCGCCCTACTAGTGAAAAGGAACATCATATATACACAACTCTCCATCCCCACACACTCCACAGGCCTCCATGTTGTCGCTATTAGAGCGCAAAACAAATCATTTGTCTCTGTCTACATTCCCCATCCTAGCCATGACCTCATCACAGAACTATCCGTGATCCTCTCATCCCTCCCTTTCCCCCTTAATTGTTTTAGGAGATTTCAATACACGCCACTCGCTGTGGGGATCTCATATTTGCGACTCTTTATCCTCTGCTTTTCTCGATCTTCTGGACAGCACAAATTTATGTATAGTTAATGATGGCTCTCCTACACGCAGAACTTCCCCCCTTCAAAATGCCAGCGCCCCTGACTTAACCTTAGTCTCTCCTAGTTTAGCCCCTTCTACCTCCTGGCTTGTTCTGATAAATTCCTTTGGAAGCGATCACCTACCTATATTAATTTTAGTAGGAGACTCCCCACCTAGCCTCACACCAGACCCCCCACCCTTACTTAAATACAGGCTTAGGAAGGCAGACTGGGACATTTACTTCTTGGTCCTGAACAGCAAAATTGTAAACATGCAACCAGTTCAAGTAACCCCCTCAACCGTTTTGTCTATATATTCAGAGTTCATCTCATGTTTGCTGTCAGCCGCAGATGAAAGTATCCCTTTGAAAAACTCTGCAAATAGCAAAATTTCCTCTCCCCCGTGGTGGGATTCGGAATGTTCTTCCTCAGTCAAGGGACGAAATCGGGCAGAACTTGAATTCGCATGTGACTTATCCTTTGAGAATTATTTAACTTTCCAAAAGATTTCCGCTCACACGAGAAGATTTTTGAGCAAAAAGAAATTTCAGGGATGGCGTGCATATTGCGAATCTCTGGAACCCCGCACCCACCCGTCTATAGTCTGGAAGAGAAAAAAATCCTTTCGCAGATCTCAGACTGATCATAACAACATCTACTCTAACGACCCGACAGCCTGACTGGTGGATTTTATTACAAAATTATCCCCCCCTTTTGTTCCTTCAGAAGCACCTGCCGCTATAAACCCCTCCTTGTCAACTTCTGACAGTATGAATGACCCCTTCTCTTTTGTAGAACTAAGCTGTGATTTGGACCATTTAAGGGATTCGGCGCCGGGTGCGGACGGCATTCCCTATTCGTTTATTACCACCTCTAAACTGTTGGTAGACACTATGGTAACCTCCAACCAAATCTACCCACTAAACCCTGGTTTTTTAAACGTCGCGATTTGCCTAAAAGTATCACTTCCACCAATATACGTTTGCGATTAGGCCATGTTTGCACCCCTGTATTTTTGCGTAAAATCAGAGTCCAAGATCACTCTCTGTGCGAGTGCGGCCTAGAAGACGGTACCTTGGAACACATTTTTTTCAATTGCCCTAATATTGCTGTTCCACTTTGTAACTTACTTCCTCCAAAATTCCCCAGCCCCCTTAACATAAATAACCTCTTAACTTTAGTGTTCTCCCCCCATATTGTTACTCTATGTCCACTTAAATAATATATATTTATAAATACATGTTTGTGTTGTCTTTTGTTTTAGATTCTCAACTGAGTACTCCCGTGGACCAACTCATCAACACCGGTTAATGTCCTATTAGAGCTCAGCGTAATTTTTTTTGTTTTGTTACCACCGTGACATTGGCAAAATCATAATTTCTCATAATGATGGAGCCATAAAAATAAAAAGTGAAGTGAAGTGAACTCCTTAGAGTATGGAAAAAAATATCTAGTCAGTTACTAGGGAAGATTTTAAGTGCCACGCATGCTCTATGCCATTTACAACAGTAAACGTAAACTTGTTACGCATCGAATGTACGGGACCATGTATAGTGCCCCTACTGTAGTGTGTAAAAAATCCTGAATGACAGCTGCAGCCAAAAGCTATCAACATATCATCGGGGATAATGCAATTACGCGTAACTAGCATTTGATTATGAGTTTCCATTTTGGTAATTTTGTGGCCAAATCAAATCAAACATAAATGTCGTGGCAACCAAACTAACGTTATTTAATAAGGGAATCTATTGTTATCAGTCGGTAGACAGCATGAATTAATACTTACTGTGCAAAAGTGAAAGTCGTATAGCCATTTTAAATGAAAAATAAAGTTTAATTCCTCTCCTGTAAAATTTGATTTAGTGCAGATACGCGCTTTTTACCAATACTACATACGCGGATTTTTACTACCCCCATCGGTTAGTATCCGTATACTGTGCTTCGTCTGTCAGTTTTAAAGCAGGGTTGTCATGCCAACTGTTCCGTATTTCTAGCAGTTTTCAATGTCCCGCCGCCAGAACATGGTGACAGTCGGAATGGCGGGTGTACCTTAACGGATCCTGACAAATTTGGTAACAAAAAAATTTGTCTAATTTGTACTATTTAGTACCTCTGTTTAAAAAATTTGTACCTCCATCAGAATGAAGTTATAGCACCAAAGGTACACCCGCCGTATTGACTGTCAATATGGCGGGTGTATCTCGAATTACCAGTATTTAATTAATAACTATAAAAACTTCTTATTCCAAAAATATTACCTTAATATTACTCTGAAGTAAAGGAAACTCCAGCTCGATCTGCTGGTTAGTTTCTAAGAAATAAGACAAAATATGTTGAGATGTCAGAGTGCCGTGTGCACACCTTAGACCTCCAGTGCATAAGGTCATCTTAACCTTAGAGTAAGGAGTTTCTATAGTCTAAGATCTTAACGAATCCTAACATATTTGGTACCAAAAAAATGTACCAAAATAGTACTATTCAGTACTTATTCTTCTAAAAAATCTAAAAAAATTGTACCTCTATCATAACGAAGGTATTGCGAAATCAAAATTGTAAATATTTTCGTTATTTTTTTAATAAATTTCCGCCTGTTATTTGGGTACCTAAGCAGTGTATTCAGTATCATTTCAGTGTATTCAAAACTAAAACGCTCCCCTGTAAACTTGGCAATTTCGACATAGGATACCTATTTTACGTAGGAGGGGCCGATTTGCGCGAATCTGCACACGCGCCTCGCTATTTATATGTATAGTAGTAGGTAACTAACTTTCGACTGTTGTTGTACGGAGTGTCCGGGGTGTGCTTTCATATTCTTGACTGTGTTTCGTCGCATTTTTAACACTTTCATGTACGACTCTTACCATTTTAACGCGTGCTCGTGAACACCCACTTACACTTGTGCCTCTATCTTGTCTTTGTTATTTTTGTGAAGTAGTATAGACAAAATATTTGTAATCGCATACAATATGAAAAGTCAATATACTCAGTTTATTTATATATATTTATATTTATTTTTATCGTTTATTAGTCATCAAGTGTATTTCCCAGTAGTTCCATTTACTCTTCCATGTGGAACAATTGTGACCTTAATGCCTGCTCATGACGACGAGAAACCCGAATAAAAATACAATGTCTTCTAAAAAAATATATTATTTAACACATAAACAAACATCCCTTACATTATTTTCATACAGTTACAATACAAAAGAATACATCTAGTGATTAAAACTAATCTAAATGCTAAAGTTACCTTATCAAATCACAGTAAAATGTTCCTAAATAAATATTAGGTTAATTAGAAACAAATTTATTAAGTCGTGGCAAGCATCAGATGTGGCCAGAAAAGTTCCAGTTTTAAAAAAATTGTTGAAAAAAAAAACATATTTAAATAAAAAATCATAAATTATTTATATCATTTATGATATTTTCATGTCGGGATGAACTTTTCTGTCAGGTTTTTCTTAGACTATGGAAACCAAGGGCATGTTATATTGACTTAAATAAATCAAGACGTTATAACGTATTTGATGCATTTCGACGTTGAAAACATAAACATGTTATTGTCTTTGTTTAACTACTGCGTGCCATCGTAACCCAAAAGGGATAGCATTCACAACTGCAAACATGGAAATCGAAAATGCGTAACGTCATCTTAAATGCCAACTATGTCCATTTCGCCATTTTTGGAGTACGGAAACGTTTGTCAAAGGGAAAAACATCAATGTCAAAACCAATGTTTCGCCAAATTTATAAACAAAAATATTGACAGTGACAACAATTAACTATTGATAAAAATACGTCTGTCGCTGTTGCATTAAGGGCTGCGGCATTAGAAAAAGCGAAAATCAAAACCTTTATTTGCACCATTGTACGTGTTATTTTTCTGTCTATAAATCATACGATAGCCCAAATATCTCGTGTAATTAGACTCATTTAAATAGTTATTCATAAGTCTTGCCAAATTTTGCTCTGGTTACTTCCAGATCGCCTGTTTGTTTGTATATTTTGATGATTATTCATAACGATTATTTTGAGATAGTGTTGTTCTTGTAAGCATATACATTATCGATATTTTTTCCCATCCTTTGAGGGTTTTTTGAATCTTACACATACCAGTCAGTTTTGTTTTCATATAAAAGATTTGCATGAATAGCTCTCATGTGTTGCTACACCACTGTATTATATTGTTTAAATCCGAATACACAGCGTATTAAATACAAAACATTATTAAGTACATATTAAACGTAATTAATAAACATACATCGGTTACGTATTACGTACATAAACTTAAGTTCACAAAATCATTTAGCAGTCAAAACAAAACAAAAGCATTGAATACTACAAAAAATACAGACATTCTAACAAACGATGTTAGATATTATTTTTATATTCAGGTACAAATACCGTCCATCAAATTACTACATTATGTTTTAAGTATTAAGTGTAATACACAAGGTTATTAAACTATATAATTAAGGCGTTATTTTATGAGTACTACGAAGTATAAGACAGTTATGGTGAAACGTTTGCGTACGCACGTTTGCGTGATGTGCAAACTATAGGTCTTGCACATCACGCACTGATGTGCAAAATATAGGTCTTGCACATCACGCACTCAAACGTTTCCCCAAAGCCGTCACTTTTAATTTCTCCAATAATTCGGCTCTCGTTTAGTTCACTATTTTCATAACCATACACAATACTAATAAAAGAAATAATTGCCTCTTATTGATACGAAAAACAGTGGTTTTAATTAGAGATTTTCAATATATGTGGTAGGAGATTTGAAGTAGTGCAATGCACTTGTCTTGAGAGAAAAAAGAAACATCACCACACTTACTTTTTTTCCAAATTGAGGCCTGCGTATGTATGCACATATATGCAGGCCTCAACCATATGTATCATATGATACATATAGTTAATAATTTTAATAAAATTTTTGTCGGTGTTCACCTTCTCTTCTATTGAAACCTGACCTGTCTCGTGAACATTTCTGCACAAAGATCGGCCGTTCCTTTATCCGTGGAGTTTTGTTCTGGATCATCAGTTTCTGAATCTGAATCGAACTCTGACGTCATCGCAGGCGATTTTCTTCCGAACGAGCGACGTTGTAAACCGACTTCTGTAGTCAAAATCTCTTTAATTACATCTTCAGGTGAGGGCTCTTTACGGCTTTTCTTGCGCAACTGACGCGCTCTCTTTCGAATATCAGCCAAAAAGCCAGTGTTGGGTTCTACGCTCTCTTGCGACATGTCCTGTGGATTATCAACAAATTGCGGACCGAGATCTGGGAATGACTGCGGTAAATCAGTCAAAGATCCTCGCGGATCCGAGCAAGAGTCTAAGGACTCGACGGAAGCACCAACGCTTTTAAATGCTGTAATGCCTTCGATTATGGATACATTGAATCCGTCATCAGATTTTGAACGTACTAGTATACCATTCGGCGCAGTACCTAACAAAAAGGGCTCATTCATTTTCAAGTTGTATACTTCAGGTATGAAACATTCAGATACTGAAGATGCCATCGATGTCGTGTCGCAAGTACACGGCGGGACTTTATATGCGTCGTCGTTGATGTAAATGATTGTTACTTTCTGTTCACCGATGAGATAAAGGAACGGATTGACAAATTCCCATCCCTGGACGGCCGAGCTCCATTTAGGGTCTTCGCTTCGAGATCTCTTCCCGTTTCCGTCGACGAAAACTCCACATTCGGCGTAGCAAAGTAGGATTTCCATGGGGTCATCGCGAATTAGGAGCATGGCTTTAGGTGGCGAATGTTTCTTGGCGGCGGCTGCAATGGTAGGTTCATCCATGCCAAAAGTTTCGAGCGCTCCTGATGGCAGGTTGACTCTGAGAGGTTTTTCTCCGCCGATGTATACAGCTTTTGAGGTGAGAAGCAAGCAGTACACTTTGTCGACGGTGAGAGAACGGACCATCTTGAATTCTGTGACAGAGGCATCAAACTGCAGCAGGAAGACACGTCGGCCGCAAGCCACTGCAGCCGACAGTTCATCCGCGTGATCACCGGACATCGGCTGTAAGGGAGCAATTTCACTGTTAATTTCAAACACTTGTCAGAAACTAATTTCGTGAACACTGATTGAACAGTCGTCTGAAGTCCGACGAAGTAGAAGTGCCAAGCCTCTCTCAAATCAAAATAAAATCTTTTCTTTCAACAAAGAGAATCATATTTTTTATGTGTATTGAGGTTAGTTACCTGAATGAGGTGCGGTGTAGCGGTATCAGGTAGGTGCACTTGCATGACAGACAGCGCGGGTTTAAGTGCTGCAGCCCGCCGTAACGCCGAGCCCAGCGCCAGCAAACCACCGTGCAGCAGCGTCCCTCCCTGGCTTCCCTGCGCCCCTAGGGCGAGGAGCGCCCGTCCCCCCACAACGGCGAGACGCTCAATTGGGCCACCGACTTCGATGGTTCTCGCTGATGACGCGTGTGACTCCACGTCGATGCTGATCGGTCCGCGGATGGAATGCAGCCCGTCGGTACAACCTAATTAACAAATTCATAATTTTTTAATGGAACAATACAAACTGTATTTTACCACTTATAATAGTTACGTATTAACACGCTCTTCAAGACAAACAAGGGTACCTATTTACTTTACTATCGCTCATTCTCAATAATTTTTCGAGTTAATGTTCACATTCATATAAAAATTAGATTATTATTAACACAAGTTTAGTGTAAGAATAAATATATGTAACTAAGCGACTCTTTGTACCCTATTTTCTTACCAATAGCAATAGCATTGGGCGCGATATAAAGCGCACAAGATGGCATGGATTTTCGGCGGTGGGCCACCAACGGGGGATTGTACCCTACGGCGGACACAGGCGGCGGCTCCAGCGACGACACGAGTGTCGCACGCTGCGACACGTTGTTGCATACCACTATAGCTTCCACTCCGGTGCCACCTTCGCCTAGCTTTATCTGGTCAAATAACAGGATAAATAGAAAATTATTCAGATAAAACTCAAATAATCTAGAAAATCTATATTTCATAGGTAACCTAATTTACACTTGGAATCGTCATAGTGATTAAACTATCCTGCTCATTCGAAAGGCAGATTCCCCTGAGAAGAGTGAGCAAGAAACTGTAGGGGTTGTTCTTTGTAACTGGTAACTGCCTCCGTGGCCGAACGGTTACCATGCCGGACTGCCACGCAGAGGTCCCAGGTTCGATTCCCGGGCCGGGAGAAATATTTGTACGGCCTAGATTTATTTCTCTCTTGAGTTTGGGTGTAATTTGTGGTTGTTTAGGTGTGTGTCTATGGCATCCGCGACACAGGGTTTCCCTAGTACGGGGCTATGTTGACTGTGTGCGTTTGTAAAAATATACATTGGTATACATTTATCATTTACATATTTATTTCAAACGTTATAGACCATGGATTTTTGTCATCCATGTACATAGAAACTTAGAACTTAGCTTTAGTACTTGTCTTAATGAATATTCATTATGATACTACTTTTGTGGCATATTCGCTACTCGACAAGGCAAAATAGTTTGTAAATTGGTGCCATCGGTCTTATTTATACTTAGTATCGAAACTTTTGATTCATTTACGTCATTGTATTGGGTCCTCCCTTTCGGGTTCATTTCCCGGTAGGACCAATTTGGGAAATAATATAATAAAAATAATATATGTATATTTTAGCAGCTACTGCTGCTGGAGCTCCTTGTGAAAGAGTTCGTCTAGGATAGTACTGCCACCTTGCCTATTTCTGCCGCCAAGCAGTAATGTCTGCTGACACTGTCTTCCGGTTTTGAAGGGTAAGGGTGCTGGTGAAATTACAGGCACACGAGACTTGACTTATGTCTCAAGATGACGAGCGCAGTTGCAGTACCCCTCAGATCTTTGCGATTTAAATCTCTGAGTGGTACTGCAACTGTTATGGACAGGCGTGTAGCATACCGTCCCGTCACTTGATAGTATACAAAAATATATGTCTCAAGGTGAAATTAGGTGAAAATATATGTCGCAGTGGTTAGTGCCCCTCAGATCTTTGCAATTTAAAGCTCTTAGTGGCATTGTAAATATTATGGACAGGCGTGTAGTTTACCATCAGGTGCACGACTTGATAGTCACTTGATTTTATAAAAAAATAACTAAAAAAAACTATTTTTCCGGATTTAAATCGTGTATATTTGTTTTTTCAAACAAATCGACGTTTCGGGCCCTTTACAGGTCCCATGGCATGACGTGACATGGTCAACCGTGACCATGGGACCTGTAAAGGGCCCGAAACGTCGGTTTGTTTGAAAAAACAAATATACGCGATTTAAATCCGGAAAAATAGTTTCATTTCCTATGTGTAACAATCGCGAAAACCTAAGAACTCGATAACTAAAAAAAAGTTTATTAAATTGGTTCTGATCTGAGTGTTGCGAATTCTGTTGCTCTGGTACTCATAGTACAGGGAATTCCCTAGTTTGAGACCAGGTAACTAGTGTGAACGTCTGGTAAATTAATTATTATAATTAGAGTTCTGGTAAATTATTATTATTAGAATTTTAAATATGAACGCAATATGAAAGTTTACGTAAAGTTACTTACAGTAAAAGCTCTGTTAGCTTCATTTTGAGCTAAATTCTTCGCGCCAGTGGAGAAGAATCGCGCACGGATCTCCTTGTCTCCCCTAGTGAGCAGCAGCGCGCCGTCTTTGTTGCTCACTTTCATACGCTCTCTGTTGTTGTCAGCCCTAAATACAATACAAATATTCGTCATTGCAAACAAGAACAAAATACAGGGTATAACAGACGACCTTATTACTTGATAGCAATCTCGTATAAATATAAACAATGACCAGAAAAGCTAAGAACCGCAATCGCCATACCCATTCACAATTCACTACGAGGTTTTTATTATTTCATTATTATTATTTTTAAAGTTTATCTACAAATGAAAAAAGAAAGAATGGTTGGAAATTATAGGACTGCTGAACATAAACAGTGGATCAAGTACCATCTTCGTTTGTTCACTCGATTTTGAAGTCAAATTTAAATAGAACTTTGAATGTAACTAGATTAATTCAATTTCATCGTTACATTTATTGGTAAACAACTATATATTTAATTTTGACTAAAATGGCTCATTACTTGCCTAGTATTAATCATACTTTGATTACAGTAAACTATACAAATTTGCAAACATAAAAAACAGTTTCAACATTCTAGTCTTGACTTCTTGACTTGACATTCTAGACTTGAGATCTATGATTATGGTACAACACCAAATCCGCCATTTGTGGTGAACATTTTTGGTTTAGGTAGGGACGTTTATTCCGTAGATAGGGCAGCTCCTTTCCTTTATTTTTTCCATCCTCTAAGGTTACTAGCCTTCGCCGCCGTCAAAAGAACAATTCAATCGACGCTCAATGAATTGTTTGTACTAGTGTTGTATTACACGTGGCACTGGGTTCGCGTGTTGTAATCAAATTATCGATACGTAGAAACTCTGTATTTAGAAACCCGGTTTTGGTTTAGTTCAACGTTTTTTTATTATAGCGGTACCAATGTGTAAACATAAATTGTTTACAGGTATTTAAAAGCGAACAATTTTGATTACTTAAGATTACTTAAATGTTTGGTCCCAACACTCGATTTTTTAAATTTTCAATCTAAGTATAAACGATATATTAATGGAAAAAAGGGAAATATAGATAGAAGAGGTACAGTGTCGATAATTTTACAATGCAAATAAGCTCGTGGAGTATTAAATGAAGACTACGAGATAAGAGATTTTCTTTCCCTTATCTACATGATTCCTATCCTATCCCTACTTGCTTATTATACGTCACCTTCGTCCGCTTGAGTTCTAAATTTTATCACAGGCATGATTTACATCTGCAGTTTTTGTATTGATTGTTTTAGTATCCCGCCGGATCCTTTTTGAAGGAGAAATGGACTGAAGCAACAGGCAGTAAAAGCTGTGTACCTACTAAATGTAGCACCAAGGCATTTTATGACATCACATTAAATATACATATGAATAACAACTGAAAAATTCATTAAGAAATAAATCATTTGGTTAATCAGGTAATATATGACATAAAACTCAGAGTCGCCTTCACAAATTGTAAACCACATCTAAATGTGAAAACATTTCTGAAGCATTGTCAGTTATTTGTCGTCAAGTTTTCATGAAACAAATGATTCGCTTCTTCGCCTTCGGAAATAAGTATCTTCATTTTCTTGCCAAGCTCGTCGACGCTATAGGTATAGTCATGTTCAGTCAGTTAGAAAGAGGTAATTGTTAAACAAATATATCATATTTCAGGGAGAATAAAGATTTTTATGATGACTGTATTTCCAGTGATCGGATTGACTTAAAAATCTAGTAGATTAATGAAAGTACGATGACAGAATAATAAATCATTAATGCTGTGATTGTAGCATGTAGCTACATATACGCACACGCCTGCGTAGCTAATATCAATTAATATTTGCGTGTAGTAAAACCTTATGCGTATTTGGTAACAAATGTGTGCATGTAAAAGTGAGCTACGCCAGTTTTCGAAGAAATTGCTTTAGATACCGTTTCTATATACTCCGTGGTTAGCCTTAAATATAGCAAGTATAAATCAATGCCTAGTTGAATATTCCGCTAGTTATGAAACATAATGTCGATATCAATTAAATGTCACATCCCTATCTATAGATTGTCAACTTTTTGCTTTTGTTCCAAGAAGTTTATGTTCATTGGATTCTTAGGTTTTATGTGACTAGTAATAATAAAACCTTACTATATATCCAAATAAGTTTCAATTTTTTTTACCAAAAGTTTTTATTATTGTCTATTTTCGGTTGATAATTTATAACCAATCAAAATTATGTTAGCTCAGTACTAATGTAACATTACGTTTTCAAATGTGTGTGTGTGTGGTGACACCGGTTTTGATACAAATGTTGCTTGATGCCATTTCCTAAACAAAAGGTCAATACCTGCTCGCAAGTGGGAGCGAGAGCGCAATATAGCTCTCCCGCTCCGACAATTTATGGCCGTAACGTCGGCAGCGAGTAAATAGTCGATAGTAGTAACCTTATATGCAGTATTTCTTTACATAACTGTGTTAATACTTGAAGGGAGGTGATTCCACCCAGTCTCAATAATAACTTCTACAATCAGACCCTATTGAAATTGCGAAACAAAATACTCTTCCACATATTTAAAAAAAATCGGATGTTCCATATCTAGAAATAATAAAAACATATTAAAACGTATGTATTTGAAAAAAGCTCTTCCATATTTTGTAAAAAAAAAGGAAAACAATTGTTCCGCGTTTAAAAAAAAACAGCTGTTCTGTCCTCTGTAACATTCTCTCATTCGTAGAACAAAAACCTATGTGCAAGACTGCTTATTCTCAGGACGCTGTTTCTCTGTGGATATCAGATCAATCGTTGTTCGATTTCATATTTTCGAAAAGAAATAACCTACAAAAATTCTGAAAACACCTGTAGGTAGGCCTTATTTTGGATAACGAGACTATGTATTTATCCTCTTTTCGCTGTATAATCACATCGGACTCTGTTCTTCGGATGAGTCGATAGAGCTCTTATTCATCCACAACGGAAAAGTAATAATAACTGATCGTAGGGCGAAAGGTTTGTATGTACTTACCATACTACGAGCACTGTGTCCTCGTTTGCGTCCTGTGTATCTATGCCGTTACGTCTATAACAATACAATATTACCATAAACAAGCGTATGATCATCATCTTAGGCCAGTGACATTCGAAAGTTTTCGCGTTGTCATAATATCGTTATTAGAATAGGTCTCAAGATGCCTATGGGTCTAGTGCGGGGTCCGCTGGTAAATTTTGTCTTAATCTAATTTTCTTAAAAAATTACATAAAACATCCTGTCTTACATTGGACAAAAATAAATTACAAACTGAACAGTCTTAACCTAATCAAGTATATCCTCTTTGAAAATATTTCTTTGGGACAGTTATCTAATTGTGTTTATCACTTTCGCCAATGCCAATTTACAGTTTTACTACACATATATTTTTTTAAGTTATTTTCTATCCAATTTCATGTGTTAGTCTTAGGGCCCTTAGGAGATGTGAATTTTACTGTTAATAAATACTACGTTTCATTTCAAAAAATTAATTAGTCGAAATGTAAGATCAAATTAAAAAAAATCTCAATGAAAGTAGAAATTTAGAATCACACCCAACACAGATGGCGTTACGGCAAAAAAAATCGTTAAAAACGAAGATGTGCCACAAGCACAAAGAAATTCGTAAAGTCTCCGTAAGGTGCACGTTCGTTCCGTGGCTCAGTTGGGAGAGCGTCAGTCACGGTATGGCGAGGTCGTTGGTTCGAATCCAGCCGGATCGAAGGAATTGTTCAGGTGTTCGATCTTGTTAATAATTATTATATATAACAAATTGGCGTTGTAATTTCACAAAAATAATTGAATATCGTGGTAGTAAAACATCGTGATATTCAACCAACTTAATATTTAATTATTAAAGCGACATCTCTTATCCCCTGGTAGCTGAAAAGGTACCTGGCTGAGTGAACAAAAGTTTTCGTAGGTTTACAATTTCTTTTCGACTGATATTTTTCCTAAAAAGAAAGCGCATAATCTCTGCAACGACTGTAGTAGCCACCTACGTATAAACCCCCTCTAAGAATTGGAGTAGGTAGTACATTTAAGAACCTGTGTTAATTATTTGTTTAGGATAATAACGAAAAACATAAAGTACATATTTACCCATTTGTGTTAACTGGTTTATTTTTATCTCTGTATGATCTGGGCGTACAAGGATAGCTGGAAAAGAAAATGTTCGCTTAAGTAAATTAAATCACATTTAACATTATCTATAATTTGGACAAAAAGAGTGACTGCTGAATGGATACCAGGTACTAAGAAATAAGACGTAAAGGTCGGCCAAAGAAATGATGGGAAGACACTTTTAAAGAAAAAGAGGGACCACAATGGATGACGAAAGTTAGGGAAAAGGAATTATGGGAGATAACAGGATAAGCCAATGCCGAGGAGGCGACTACTACTTTTGCTAGGCAATATGTAACTGTTAATGGATACCATAGTATAATAAGACAAGATTAATAGTGTAACTCCCGCTTGTACCGCGCCGTCTTACTTATTTCTGCCATCGAGCAGTAATGTGAGCATTACTGTGTTCCGATTTGGAACTGATGGAATTACAGGCACATGGGAGTTGTCAACTTGTCTCAGTGTCGTGTCATTAAAGCTCTCAGTTGCTCGGCAAGTGTCATGGATAGGCGTGTCGCATACCTCCAGGTGCACGATTTGTTCCTTCAGTCACTTGGTATTATAAAAAAAATGGTATTCTCGTGCTATATTGAAATAAGCTTCGTTAAATGCAGTACTTATATATTGATATGCTTATACTAGGATCGCGGATTAACATCTCGATTATGGGAGTATGATCGTGAAATAGAAATAAAATGCGAGTTTGTATATACATAACGATACATTTCAACTTTAAAAAAAAAATTAACACAGGAGAATATTTGAAACACCTAAACACTTCATTTCTACAATTTATTGCGCTTGTGTCGACCTGCGTTGTACAATTCCGCACATGGTGTGCGACCGAACGTGCAAACTTACACTACTTGTGTTAATTATACTATGTCAATGCTGTAGTACAAATAAAGACTTATTTTTATTTATAATTGGATATCTGAATCGTAGCAATTACTTACGGGTTACCGTTGTAGGCATTCTCTGCTAATTTGGCGCGTAGTCTGTCAACTTCTTCGCGTAGTTCTCTACAGAAGTACAATATCATTAATTTGTGATCAACATTTTGTTTTGTCTTATAAGTTGCATTGTTTTTTGTATAACAAAATATACCTGTTGGCGCGACGCAGCGGCGGTGAAGTGGCAGAGCGACGCCCCGATCGACCAAACAGCTTATTGCCAAATGAGCATTTCTTGCGACTTGCTTCTTCTACTTTAGCCTGTGATTAGAGAAAATGTGTAGTGTTTAGGAATAAAATGTGTCCTGAAGTGTAGGGAATTTAGTACATTGAAACCAGTTAATTGTTTGACAAATTAAATCAAAATACTTTCCCCATTGTTTGACAAATTAAATAAAAATACTTTCCCTTTCCACTATCCCAAGGTTGCCTGGGAGAAATGGCTACTTAGCAATAAGGCCGCCTGTTGTCCATTAGCTTATTCTGTGTTACTTACATTACTACGATCTTAAGGACAATGCCGACGTTGAAAGAGAGCGTAGGGCTCTAGCGGTAAGAGGTAATATGTTGATACGTAGGTTTTCCCGGTGTACAGAAGAACTCTTTTGAAAACAGCGCTCTACAAACTGTAGCTGGTTAGATAGGATTACTGTCCCATGCGGCAATGCTTCATGGGGAAGGTTAATATGTGTATACACACACACACACACACACACACACACACACACACATACATGTATATATGTTGATATATATGAACAAATTTATAAGCACTTTTCTATTATTATTATTATTGTAACAAATTATGGAACGCGATGTATAAAAAAAATATTTTTATTCCTTTTATTACTGTTCTGTGTTGGCGAATATTTCATTCATTCATTCATTCGAGAAAGAGATTTAAATGTTACAAAGTAATGTCAATTACATAACGTAATTTACCTGTAGGAAGTCGATGAGCTTGGCCTGCTGTCTAAGCGTGGCATCGGCTTTCGTCTCGCGCGTGCGCCACCACGACGTCGCCGCTTCGCTCGCCTCGCGCACCGCCGCTATCTCCTCCTGCAAATAAATCACAGTATACCAGGCTGCTATTCATTGTTAAGTCGCTCTGATAAGAGGTCTTAATTCAGTTATTTATGAAACATAGGTTGTATAGAAGTTGACATGTACAAAAGCGATGCCTTACTATCTCAAACTCGTATTTTATAAACAGTGATTATTTAGGATATGGCTAACTTTCCATTTATTTAAAATTTATTATCAAGGGTGTTAATTGGGTGTGTGTTAATTTGGATGCATTACTTTAAAAATAGGTAAAAGCCAGTGTGTAAATATAAAGGAAATGTGATGTGAAATCAGCCTGCAAAATTTGCATATACAATCCATATTTAGCATTTCCGTAACTTTGTGCTTTAAGATACGAATTTGAGAAAGTAAGGCGACGAAATATAAGTTTCTGTTACGGATTCTGTTAAAAATTCGGGTTTAGCTCACCCAACGCAAACAGATATGCGAGCGAGAGTAGTCGAGAAACAAAAGTAAAAATACCTGAGCCTCGGCAAGGCTGGCTTGCAATTGCAGCGCATGCGTGTGGTGATCATGCGCGCGAGTCCTCAGTGCAGAGCACTCCTCTTGTAACTCTCGTACGCGGCGCACGGCGCTGCTAAGTGCGGCCTCCGCAGCGGATCTTTCGGCTTCTAGTGTAGTCGTTCGGGACTCGAGTTCTATTACGCGAGCTTCACGGTTTTCTAGACGTTCCTGCAATGAATATAAAGTTCCATATTACCTTTACTTTCCTTTCCGTTCCTTATTATTATTACTTAGTTTGAAGTAAACACGTTTATGTAAACGGTTCACTTTTAATTGTTCATACGCTATAGTAAAGTTTGGGTATCTAAGTGTGTGAAATTATAGAACTTAAATCTGTGTTGATTTGTTGTTTGAAAAAAAAAACTTTAACAAAAAAAAGTTGTAATATTAAGTTTATTGAATATCACGATGTCTTACTACCATGATATTTTTTTTAATGAAATTTCTCCACTAGTTCGTACATATTGTACTAGTTCGATCTAAGAAAAATTATTTCGATCCGGCTGGATTCAAATGATCGCCTTTAGCATACCGTGCTGTGCGTGATGAAGGCGCTCATTCGGATCCGGGCGGATCGAAGAATTTGATCTTAATCTTCGATCTTGTATTTGTACAACACATGAAAGGCAACTCTGCATAAATTGCAATTTACCTTAAGCAGCTGCAGTTGACACTGCGCATGTTGTGCAGTGTCCCTCGCCTCCTCGTGTTGCTGAGAAGCCAGCGCGGCTGCCGCCCCCCGCTCAGCCACACGCCGCTCTGCTTCGACCAGCCGCCCGCGACAGGTCTCCAGGTCACCGCGGATGCGTGCCATCTCCGCCTGGCACATTAATTGTTTCCAAACTCACTTTCCAGTGGCTAAGCCATCGACTTGCCAATGACTTTGATATTTATGGAACCAGTGACTAATGCACACAAGAATAAAGATCCTCTTGAATAAAAACACTAAACTTACACTATTATCCCCCAATAGCTAACCGATTACGTTTTTTTATAACCATTCGATGTTTTCTATGGGGAATTGGGTCACAAAAAAGTATGCTATTAATCTCTAGCGCCAAATGTCTACATGGGGAGGCAAAAAAATAAATAAGTAAAAAGGTACGAAATGCAAGGGACAATAAACAACTATTAATAGGGCGTAATCAGATACGCAATTGTTAGTTTTTAAAGTACATTTAAATTCCGTTGCAATTTTAAGTTTGGATCACAAAGATAATAATATTTAATTGCATGCATTCTATCGATTACCATAATGTTTATTTACATACTTCTAGTTCTCTGTTTTTGACTTCGTTGAGATCGGCTAATCTTTCCAAATCGTTCAACTGCTCCTCCAAAAGGCTGCACGCCTCCTGCAGCGCTTTGTTATTCTGAAAACAAACATATATTGTTTTTATTCAAATAATGCAGCCACATGCGTTGTCTTATTTTCATAATAGAACAAAGAAAGTATTATTGACAATGAAACTGTATTTTTTTTCGGATATAAATAGCGTATATTTGTTTTTTTTTAACAAACCGTTCAGGACCTTTACGGCGTTCTATGCATAATAATCGCGAAAATCTATGGTATGTGGTTATCGAACGAATGATATAAATACTCCTATAAACACAAGCCGGTAGACTAGTTTTTCATATCTGTGAATGATGTAAGTCAAGTTAATAAACAATGAAATTCTCACTGTCTGCTGACGACTTGAAGCTTTATATAAGTCCCACTCCCAATAACTGTGAACTCTTTCGAGCTGATCTTGATAGAATGTGGTGGTGGTGTAAAAATAATAATATGATTTTAAATATAACCAAATGCTACCATATTAAACTCACTAGAAAAAAAGGCCACTGAACTACGCATACAGGTTGTAATCTTATGCCACTACAAGTTATCGAAATCTCTGATCTGAGAGTGCTCTTGGACAACGGGCTCAAGTTTAACTCCCATATTGATGAGATCGTTGCGAAAGATGCTTGGTTTCGTGAAACGCAATGAAAGGGTATCCGTCGAACTGCAACAAAGGCTCTTCTATACTATTCACTTGGTCGCAGTAATGTTGAATATGCTAGCCAAGTATGGAACCCATTATATGGCGTGCAGAGGCTGGAATCTGTTCAGCGCACATTCACGAGATACTTTGCTTTCTTCGCACCCGGTATATCGTACAGCTGCCCATATGAGTATAGGCTCACTTTCTTTAACCTCGAAACACTCAAGAATTTAGATTTCGAAGATTTAGAAGTACATGTGATGCGGATATGTTTGCAGACCCTTTGTCTGCATTTAGGCACAAGCTAACTTCACATTTGAAATAATAATAAAATTAACACTAGTAGTATTATGGAATACAGTATTATACGTGTATTTGAATGTGTATTAATCTATTGTTTTTTTCCTTTATTTTTAATTTTCAATTTATGTAAAAAATATGTTATGAAAGTAATTTTTTTTAAAGCGTTGTGTAATTATGTCAACGTTGTTGTCGTGAAATTGAATATAATATGTAGTTCCGTGTATAGCGAATGTCGTGTACGTCAGTAATTGTCATATACAGGGTGTCCCAAAACTCAACGATAACCTCGATAACCTGTGAACAGGCTGTTGCCTAGTTTGTACCAACCCAGAAAAAAATATTCAAAAAATTGGAGTCATGGTTTTTTGCATTTTAATGAAAAATGTTGAAAATGTACGACCTGTACGCCATTTTTAAATACTACAATTACAAATTTGCTTTTGCTGTCCTAGTTTTTGTAACGGTAAGTTAAATAGCTCAGCTAATGAACACAATGCCAAAGAAAACCCGAATTGCTAAAGTTTCAGCACAAAAAAATAATGTATTTAATTTTTTCTTGCAATTTTTAGCAGATTTTTTTTCAAGGTAACTGACATCCCATACTGTAAAAAAAATATGTACCTAGACTACCATGGCAACTCCTTACAATAGTAGGCGCATCAAGATTCTAAAATGGTATAAAACCTTCTACATCTAAAAACATGACTCCGATTTTTCAAATATTTTTTTTCAGGGTTGTTACAAACTAGGCAACATCCTGTTCTCAGGTTATTGAGTTTTGGGACACCCTGTAGTAGTCGTAGCCTCATGTTTAATTTTTGTTGATTGTCAAATACATATGTATGTCGATGTTGATGTGCCTAATATAATAATAAATAAATAAATAATAAATACAAACAATTAAACAACATTGAAACAAAACGAAACGTTTGAGGAATAAGTATATGGTTGGTAACAGTTAAACATTTCAAAAAACGCGTAACAAAGTTAAAGTAATCAATTTACGAAATCTGTCGTAGAAACTATAACAACGCACACATTCAACATAGCCCCGCACTAGGGAAACCCTGTGTCGTGGATGCCATGGACACATACATAGACAACCACAAATTACACCCAAACTCACGAGAGAAATAAATGTAGGCCATACAAATAATTCTCCCTGCCCGGAATCGAACCCGGGAGCTCTGCGTGGCAGTCCGGCATGGTAACCGTTCGGCCACGAAGGCTTAACTGCAGTTACAAAGAACAACCCCTAGAGTTTCTTGTTCACTCTTCTCAGAGGAATCTGCCTTCCGAATGAGCAGGATAGTTTAATCACTATGACGATTCCAAGTGTAAATTATGTTATCTATGAAATATAGATTTTCAAGATTATTTGAGTTTTATCTGAATAATTTTCTATTTATCCTGTTATTTGACCAGATAAAGTTAGGCGAGGGTGGCACAGGAGTGGAAGCTATAGTGGTATGCAACAACGTGTCGCAGCGTGCGACTCTCGTGTCGTCACTGGAGCCGCCGCCTGTGTCCGCCGTCCGCAACTGAATGGTATGCGATCAAATGATAGCACATAAAACCGAAATTATATATTCTTCCCATTTGGCAGGTGAGACACAGTAAGTTGCATACTCTCAGAGCACAGTACCTTCTCAAAATGCCCGTTAAAGACTGTAAGCACGCCGTCGGCAGCCTTGCACCGCCCCTGCAATAGATCCGCTACGAGTGCTATCTTAACACGCCGTGACCACGCGCTGTCGCGGTTCCGGCGAACGAAAGCTCCCACATTAAACAAATGTTTCAAATAAGCCGGCTTCGGCCGCACCGGTGGTTTCTCAGGTCGACGTCCCTTCCCATCCATACTGTGTTTCATATTATAATACGTAGGAGTGTTCGGCGCACTCGTTATTTGTTTAGGGGTCGCTTCCAAATGCTTGTACATACTCGACGTAGCATCAGATTTAAGTCGAAATAATCTCCCTTCCTTATGCATATACCCATTTGGGCTCTCCGCATGTCTATTGTTTGCAAATGTACACGATGCACTAGTTCCCTCAACAGATATCTTTTGCTGCATCCGCGCCCGAAGAATCGCGTCCATATTCTGGTAAGAATCAAACTCCATATTTCTGAACACTGCTTCGTGCTTTACGAATGTGTTTCACTTCTTGCCTTACAGACGAAAAACAGAAACTGTTGAATACTCATATATAATTATATAAAAATATGACAAACAAGAGCACGTACTGACAATAAAAAAGCAGATTGATAATTGAGTCTCCTCTGGCTACTTAGATGTAAGCGTGATTACTAAACAGTAATATTGATGTTTGTGTTTTAAAACAAGCGGTTGGAATCTACAGAACAATAGGTCACGCAACGGTCGATGACATACGCATCTAAAGACACTGAATTCTTACATCATTTGTTTTGTGCTTAAACCAAATTTTATAAACACTTATATGTAGTCGTTTAGTGAATTACATTATATCCGTAAATTCATTTTTGTACAGGGTCAAGAGCACGTCAAGCTATATTTACATTTAAGACTTAAATCCAAGTCTATGCCGCTTACGATCAGAACGGTCCAAAGTACAAAGTGTCAAGCTTAATGTTTTCTTGACTGTACATACATATTTTAAACATAGATTTTTTTAAATGTTAATGACACTAGTATTCGTCCTTATTTTGTACAAGTAGCTATCGGAAACAGTTTTGTACAGGCCGCTTTCCAAATAACGCGAAAAAATGGTAAACTTTCTCTCCATTTTCTCAATTTTTCCTCAAAGGAGATTAAAATTATTATATATTTTTAAATATATAGAATCAAAACTTTCATTATAAATGCGAAAGCAACTCTGTCTGTTACGTTTTCATGCCTAAACATCTGATTTTGTTGGATTTTGATATAGAGATAGACGGGACCTAGGAGAAGGACATAAGCTACTTTTTGTCACAATAAAAAACCTTAAAGGAGATGAAATAGTGGATGAAAGTTTGAACCAATCATTTCTCGAGTAAGGGATCTGAAAATTCATATTTATGCCCTTTGTAAGAAATAAAAAAATAAAGAAATTGCATAGTACAATAGGCTATAAAGTACTTATTCTAAGCAGACGACGTCGCGGGTAGAGTTAGTATTAATATAAATTGGTAACTATTGTACCAGAATGAATTCATTCCTATTCCTCATGTCCGTTTGATCACGGTTGCAGGTTGTAATTGCCCCGAACGGCAATACTTTACTCGAATCGTTAGTTGTCACATTTTGGTTTAAGTCCGAATGCACGGCCTTGTGGCTGTGGCACAGATTCGTGCCCCTTGTTAATTTCCCTGGGGGCTTTGCCAGTGTTTTTTTCTGGTGATATATTTTTAAATAAATAAATATCGTTTATTTCTCCTTCCAGCATAGTATTAATATACAGGGTGTAACAAAAAGGAGTAGTAATATTTCATGAAGTCATCTTCAGTTAATGGTATGAAATACATTTAGAAAGTGATCACGCCGTCGCGAATTATGTCACGATTTAGTATTACTTTTGTAATATCAAGCATTAATAAATTTAGCCTGTTATGATACCTAAGAGTAGGGAACTAACACGGCAGGCCAAGCATCTCAAATGAAGGTGAGATATCACGCGTCTACGGGGAGTGCACTGGTTGGTCGGCACTACAGTTGGTAAGTTTGCACGATGTTTATTACTAACTTAGATATAGTATTTGTTGACTAGACAGCCTGAAGATAGAGTTTGACGAATCAGTAACAGAATTAGAATGAGACCCGCTGCTTAAACTAAAGGTATAAGGGGGCATGAAGCGGTGGCAGAGGAAGGACTGTAGGGGTGTGTGTCCCATCATAGGGATCAGAGGATCCCACTAGTTTAGATTCAGAGGATCGATATGAGGTCAAGGACCTAGTAGGACAATTATAGTAGTCCGATGAAGTAGAATAGAGTTAGAGGAAGCATACGCGAAGAAAGATATTCTACTTAAAGGCTGTTGTGATAGAAAGAATATCGCATATGTAATTATGATTGAACATTAGGCGTGGCGACACACGCTCTAGACTAGTTATAGACAAAAAATAAGATCCGTTGGCATAATTTAAAAAAATAATAACGCTACGATAAGGACATAGGATTGTGTCAAAGTAGAAGAATAGAGTGAACTTAATTTATTATTAATTAACATATTATTATGACTATAATATGTTAGAGCTGAAGAACCGCATGGTACAGAAAGATGAATTCGAACTAGCTATTAAAATTTTTGTGGAACAATAGACAATTGTTACTGGTAAGAGCAACGTTTTTGACCACGTATACATACTTCTGATACAGAAACATAGAATTCTCTACATTTCCTGTCTACAGTAGCTACTAGTACATCCTTTTGATCTTTAGGATGCTGAATTAATGTGGACATATCGGATGCAAGATTTACATAACATGAATCGCGTCGATTTCCACTAAGTTATCTGTGCACTGCGTATTATATTTCAATGTACGGACGTAATTGTATCTTTTTTTTTATAATATGAAATGACGGGACGAACAAGTCGTGTGTCTGATGGTAAGCTACACGCCAGTCTATAACAGTTGCAGTGCCACTCAGAGCTTTAAATTGCAAAGATCTGAGGGACAATGCCTCTGCGCCTGTCACCCTGAGACATAAGTTGACAAGTCCCATGTGCCTGTAATTTCACCAGCACCCTTGAAAACAGGAAGGCAATAATGTTAACATTATTGTTTGGCGGCAGAAATAGGTAAGGTGGTAATACTTCCCTGGACGAACTGTTTCATAAGGAGCTCTACTGCTTCTCAGAGTGATGAAAAACCTTTATACTAGCCAAAAGATTATAGGATTTTCAATATCTCCAGATTTTTTAGAGAACATAAATCTTCGAATACTGAACAAAGCGAACGGGTTTAAGACAAATATTTTATCTAACTACTAAAGTCTGGTGATTAATGTTAATTTTATTAGCTAATACCAGCTAGCCATAGATTCCCAAACTTTTCGGCGCACTGCCCACTTAGGCAAGACAAAAAATATTTCAGCGCCCACCCCCACAAAAAATAATTGAAAACACGTATTTTTTATATTAACTTAACACAAAAAATAATAAGGAAAAAATTATATTATATACATACTAAAAAGGTAATTTAGTGCGAGGGACATTATAAAGGGTTATGTATACTCTCTTATGATCGCTTGGTAGCGAAAACCTACCTTATAATCTACATAACCTTCAATTTGTACATTTTGACCACAACATCAGTACACCTGCCCAATCGCTGTACGATTTATCGCAACCCATCGCGCGATTCAATTGAACTGAAAAAATATTTCAAATAGTTTCCTAATAGATCACAATATTTTTTAATTAAATTTTTTTGTAAATTATTCCAAAGCAAAGAAATGAAAACTTATTGAAAAATAATTTGATTTGTTGGGACTCCACTTAAAATATTTTTTCAGTTGAATCGAATCGCGCGATTGGTTGCGACAAATCGTACGGCAATTAAGCAGGTGAAACTGATATCGTGATCAAAATATACACATTAAAGGTCATATCAGTTTCCACTGCCAATCGACAACGCAAACAGAGTATACATACCCCTATAAAGTATGTAGATATCTAATAATAGCAGCGTTGTTATAAATTAAGAAATTCATAAAATCATTATTATACATTATTGAGTTAGGCCGACGATACTCTTTTTTGAGACAGTGAAGTTATGATTAAGATTTGTTTTCTAGTGCAAGTACAAACTTTTTTGTTACAAAACCATAATCAATGGGATAATAAAGTAAAATTGTGACAATGATATTGTCAAATTATTGCAAAATAAACAAACTAAATGTCTGTAAATTTATAAGATTGAATTTTAGCACTACATCTTATAATAGCTAGTGCTATGTAAATAACAATTCAAAATAATTCCTAGCATCTTTCACAGTTCATGCTGTTAAACTTCGAACGTAACCTGGGCTGCGTTTTACAGTGGTTCTACGAAATCGGATAAAAATCTGTTCTTTCAGTGTTTTCAACCGTAAAATGCGCTATAATATTTGTGACATGTGCTCAGAAGTACAAGTTTTGTAAGTAAATAAATAATAAAATATATTACGTCACGTATTTACGACAAAGCAAGTGCTTGTATGAGATTAGGGATGTTCGAGCTCGATTTTAATATCGATGATGACGAATAGTCGTAATTTTTTGAAATGAAATTAAGTTAATTAGACAAAATATTCAACTAAAATATCACTGCCAATTTGCTATTTCAAAGTAACTCACTACGTTCTTGGATTTTCATTGCACCAGTCGGTTACACCCTGTATATCAAATGTAGTTTATACAGATAGTTCAGGTTTTTTTCAAATGCAGTTTCTGAGCAGGCCCCTACCGCCCCGTAGAACTCTACAGCGCCCGCGGGGGGGCAACTTTGGGAAACAATAAGCTAGACGGACAGCCACAAGTTTTTGCTCTGTCCTGTACCAAGTGTATGTAACGAAAAGTCATCTCATCACTATACAGTATATACAAGGCCAATATAGGGTACAAATGGCAGCATATCTAGCTACATATTGACGAATCTTATTCCATTGCTCATGAGGCGGTATTTGAATAAGTGTATGGCTTGATGTGCTGTTTTCTGTATACTTTCAGTCAAATATCTTCATGATTTATCGTTGTGACTTCTACTATAATAATACCAACAATACCTTTAAAACACTTTTATCCCGAGTCTGCAGTTCAAGGAGTTGTTCCCGAATTCGATTCCGCTTGTTACGATTAGCAACTTCCTGTTGTTCCGCAAATGCACGTAATTCAGTAGCGATCAGGTCGGTCGAAACGGTCGCCATCTTGCCGTCAGGAGGCATGTTCGACACTGCGTCTTCTTTGTACTTCATAGGAGTCACAATTTTGATTCCTTGTTCTTTTCACCAATTACCAACCGAAACACCGCCGAAGAGAGAAAACAAACGACCAAGTTTCTTTTAATTAAAAAAAAAACTATATATAGTACCAGAAATGTCGAACGAACGTCGTTATGGCTTAAATATTTTAAAAATTGTTATAATAAACAATACAAAAGTTTATCATAACATATTTTATAAAAAAATATTTTTAAAATTTTCATATAGTGGTTTACGTTCGGAAATAAACAAATACAGCTAGATACTGAAATACTTTGACTGTTGAACTGCCCAGTATTGTTAAGAAAGGGGCACGACAAAGGGCGCGGGGGGCGGTGACGATTGTGCAATTAACAATTGGGCTCATACAAACAAATACGTAGGACTTCTTGGAATATTATTATCATTCCAAACCATTCAACCTCATCGTTGAAAAAGTGGAACAGAATAAGAATACACAGACGTTACAAGAAGCTTGCTACCCATGCTAAAATGTGTTACGTTTTAGAATGTATACTGTACACTGAATGACGCGGATTTGCAGTATCTATTATATATCTACATAGACGACCTCCGTGGTCGAGTGGCTTGCAGACCTGTTTTCATAGTGTCTGGAGGGTTCTTGCATATCCTCATTTAATCTGGGTAACACTTTTACTACCGGATTAGGAGATTTAGATTGCAAAAATAAAAATAATGTAAGCGCTCACAGCCGACGAAAATCTGCAAAGTAATGTGGAACTTCCTGATTGCAGTTGTTATAAATTATAACTGTTGTAACTAAATACAAAAACACGACAACAAGCACATAGAAAAATTCGCGAGATCCGCAGGTTCGTTCTGTGGCTTAGTTGGTATAGTGGCTGGCACGGTATCCTAGCAGACGTCGGTTCGAATCCGGCCGGATCGAAGGGATTTTTTCAGAGTGTTCGATCTTTCTATTAATAATTATAACAAACTAGTGGAGTAATTTGACATATTTAATAAAAATTTAAATGTAACGCTTTTTTAATGAAATCTCAAAAAAAATAGATTTCATTCTAGTAGTAGTTGCTAGGCAGGTGCAAAGGAGTCACACATAGGTCATATCAAGTTAGCTTTGCGTAGGTCTTTTTCTTATCGTATCGATGACATACACTATACTTTTGTGGTCCCGAACTAAGCGCGTCGTCCAATTTGAGTTTCGGCAGCTACACTGAAGCCATGGCCAGAAATGCAGCAAGGAAGCTTGGCATCTTCTCCAGGGTGAAGTGTTACTTTACATCGGGACTGTTGCTCCAGCTGTACCAAGCACAAGTCCGGACATGTGTGGAGTACTGCTGTCACCTTTGGGATGGCTCTGCTATATGCCAACCTTGGATTCAATTAACAACCGTACCAAGAGCCTTATAGGTGACTCGGAATGTGTGAAGGCGAAGCTGCAGAGCCTTGAACACCGCCGTAAAGTTGCCTGCTTCCAAAACCAAAGGCTATCAGATGGGCATGGCAATTCGCGTCCAGAAGGAAAACTCTCAGCCTCTTCGCGTAGGTATATTTTACGAAGGGTCCCCAAATAATTTCCAGGGTTAGCAACATACCTGCTCCAAGTCGTGGTTCTTGCTCCTCACTTCAGTGAGTTCGTCCCGCAGTTGCGCTCGTTCGCGGCTCGATAACTCCTCCTGTTCCTCTGCGTGCATGCGACGCTTCTCGCTGTATTGCAGCTCGCTCTTCAGCTTGCGAATGTCGTTTCGTGATCTAGGAATTTAAGAATAAATGTCAATTTCGTTAAAATCGTAAGAAATTACGCTCTTGGATGTTTGTGTTTTGTGCAAATGTTTCATTTTATGAGGCAGTACTTAGTATAAACTGCCTCTGTGGCATCTCGACTGTGATCTGGCAATCGGTACAATCTCAATTTTGACAACTTTACAGGATGAAGAAACAAATTGTTTGCGTCATTTATATAGCATCTGGTTTGTTAAATAAAAATACGTAGTTTTTAAATATTTTGATTACACATACACTACGTATTTTTATTTAATAAACCAGATGCTATGTAAATGATTTTTTCTTCACCTGTAAAGTTGCCAAAATTGAGATAGTACCGGTTGCCAGTTCACAGTCGATATTTATTTCTCCCATGAGTTGGGTGTAATTTGTGGTTATCTATGTGTGTATCCATGGCATCCGCAGTACTATTATTTTTATTATTATTATTTATCATCAATGTTATGTGCTACTTGTTTGAGGCCTGTTAATATCCTTTGAATACATTTTTAATAGAATACATCGCCTCTTTCAAAGTTACGCGATCATAATTATTGGTGCAATGGACGGAAACACTCTCCTCCAATCACAAACGGTGAGGGAATTCCTTCCACGCTGTCGAAAAAGCAGTAGAATGATGTTTACACTCTGCAAAAAGATAGTATAAAGTTCTTTTCACTTAATTAAAACATACCTATCGACCTCAGCCTGCGCAGTTTCATGCTCCTTTTTCAATTTGTCGAATAGCGACTTTATTCTCTCTAATTCATTACTCGATCTTTCATGATGTGGCTTCAATGTTGTTATCTCACTCTGTAGCGCAGAAACTTTTTGCTCGGCAATCTTGCGAGCTTCTAAAGCTGCTGTCAACCGTTCTTCAGTTCGTTTTAAATCACGGGCAGAAGCTTTAACTTCTAATGAAAGCTCATTGTTTTCGCGTTCCTGTTGAAAATAAAATAACAAAGTCATTTTGAATATACTTTTTGTAATAATTTATTTATTTAAGCCTTATATGGTTTCTATATATGGTTTCTTGGTTTTGTCTCAAGTTTCAGTTCAGCCCCTTGACTTTTAAGCTATAGGCTAACCCGTGTTATAAAGTCAGTGGTCCATATTAAATAATAAGTTCTAATGTTGTCGCGAATTATGTCGCGATTTAGTATAAGTTTTTGTAATATCAAGCATTAATAAATTTAATCTGTTATGATACCTAAGAGTAGGGAACTAACACGGCAGTACAGGCATCTCAAATGAAGGTGAGATATCAGGCATCTACTGGAAGTGCACTGGTTGGTCGGCACTACAGTTGGTAAGTTTGCACAATGTTTATGACTAACGTAGATACAGTATTTGTTGACTAGACAGCCAGAAAATAGAGTATGACGAATCAGTAACAGAATTAGAATGAGATCGCCACTTGTACTGAAGGTACAAGGGGGCATGAAGCTGTGGCAGAGGAAGGGCTGTAGGGGTGTGTGTGGAGACCCATCATAGGGATCAGAGGATCCCACTATTTCAGATCCGGAGGATCGATATGAGGTCAAGGACCTGTTAGGACAATTATAGTAGTCCTATGAAGTAGAATGGAATTAGAAGAAGTGTACATGAAGAAAGATACTCTATTTAAAGGTTGTTGTGATAGAAAGAATGTCGCATATGTAATTTACATTATGATTGAACCTTAGGCGTGGCGACGAGCGTGGTTTTTTAATGTGAGAAAGAGAAAACATTTGCGGTCATGAAAATAATTAGAGCTTTTAAATGCAATCCTCGGATTTCCGAATGCACCCGAATACAAAATAGTAATTATAAGATTTATCATCTATAAGAATTTTAATTTAGAACTACGTACATTATTGTAGTTTTGTTTTGATTTCCATGTGAATTACACAGAACTGTAAAACTATTTCGCTTTTCATAATTACCTACTTCCAACAATGTAAGAAAAAGACAATACGAGCTACTTTATATACTTTCCTTACGCACTTAAAGGGCAACTGATATCAATCCGACTAGTGATGAAAGAGACTCATCACTAGAGTTTTATGGCGACTGGACTCCATTTTGCAGGACTCGACTCTAAAATTAAGACTGGGGGTTCGAGTTTTTATTAATAATACTCAGTTGTTATACTAAAAGACTCAAAAGACTTAAACGACTTAAACGACTCGAGTTGTTTGCAAAGAACTTATACTTATTTTAAGTCTTATTATACCCGAAGTTTATAAATAAAAATGACGTAAGCAGTATGTAATAAATAATCATGTTTATTTACATATAATAAAAATCGTAAAATAAATAACTTGTGGGTAGAAATAAAATCACGCCATACGGCTCCTGACTCGCGACTCCCGAGGGTATGAGGCGCCAGTAGTTTTAGTCGTTTTAGTCCTATAAGTCTTTTAAGCTTCCTAGGGTTAAAAGACTTGGACTCGAATTAGTCTTATGACTCAAGACTTGAGGGTTAAAAGACTAGACTAGTCGTGAGGCGTTGAAAATTAGTTGAGGTTGACTGAGTCTCTTTCATCACTAAATCCGACGACAGCCAAAACATGAAGATTGCCGACAGATATTAAGAAAATAGTTAGTTACTGTAAGTTGTTGTCAATTGTGCATTAGGTGTAACAAGGACCTATAACGTAAAAAGCAGATTCGAGAAAATTTAAAATAAACTTTTAATGTTTTATGTTTTATATCTTTTTAATATTTATAATATAACTCTTATATACTTTATTATTTGTTTGTTCTATGATTTAGCCAAAAGATTGAAGTGGCATTATTATTTAAAAAAAATAGAAATATTTGAATATATATGTTTTCCTTGCGTTAGCGCCCTTGTTTGGTTTGGTACAACCAGTAAATTAATGGGGCGTTTGTTTGGTTATTGGGTTTTAGGTAAATAAATAATAACTTTAGATACTTATGTGAATCAGTCTTATTTAAAATTTACATTGAAAAAAAGAACGTATTTTTAATCATTCATTAAATTCGCTGCCCTCCTAGATGTTCCAGGTTGAAGATGAAATCGCTCGTTTCAGACATTTTTTTTACATTAAAATAAGTTTTTATAAACTGCAAGTGGTACTGTATCCAAAATTCAAACGCACATTTACAATCTATGCAACAAGGGCGGAGCGCCATCTTCTAGATGAATGAAACTTACGCCATCTAGAAGCGATAGATCCAAGTAAGTTTTTCTCATAAGATACTATAATTATGGTGCCTTAGAATAATAACGCATAGTTTCATATCAAACGAACTGTCACAAGTGAGGCAAAAATCAAATTCATGTAGGCTAGTTTCAGTAGTACATTGACTTAAGTCAATGTAGTAGTAGGTTACTTTTCGGTTTTAGTGAATATTTATATAAAAATACAAGTTGAAACGCGTTACTTCTTTGTGGAATGTGATGTTAGTATCTATTTTATGTTTGTATGACGTATTTTTGCATTCATTTACCGCACATTTCGTCATTTTTAGCTAAAATTCTTGAGCTGTTCGCGGTGCAAGTTGACCTTGAGCTTGAAGGCCCGTCCGCTCGTGTAGGCCCATTGGGAGCGCTTCAATTTGCCTCACTTAGCGTGTGCGGACTAGGTTTCTATGCGTTATTATTCTAAGTATAATGATTTGTTTTGACGTAATAACATCAAAATGGGCTTTGGGTGCAGAACGCCCTTGTCGCTCCCAATGCTTCAACTGTTGATAATGTATAGAGACTGCATAAGCAATTAGTGAAAGTGCAGCGAGAGAGCTTTCTTGTCATACCACTGATCCACTCAAATAGCACTATTTTCGACACGAATGGCTCCGCTGTTCCTTATCCGATATGCATGAAACATTAAACTAGTATAGAAAAGACAATTGTACAGGTCGTGATGAAGTCTATGTATTTTGCCCTTTGGCCTGTGATAAATGAGATCAAAGGTTAAAATTCGAAGTTCAAAGGTATTATTAATATACATATTCCGCCTAGTAAAGTATTTTGTTACCTTCCGCCACCTGGCTAGGTTAGCCGTCCTCGCTTCTTGTCGTAATGCTGCTATTTCTTCAGCACGAGCCTGCAATAATGAACATCAATGAGGAATATGCACTTCAAAATGACACTTTTGTACGCAGCTACTAAGCCAATTTTTATATTAACCTACTAAGGCCCAGTGCGCATCAAAATGTGCATAATATGTAGTGATTGAGACCCAGACAATATTATACCTATGATCAAGTCAACGCCCGAATACATTATAATGAAAATATCGCATTTTTTTATAATACAAGTGACGGGACGGACAAGTCGTGTCTAATGATAAGCTACACGCCTGTTCAAAACAGTTGCAGTGCCATTCAGAGCTTTAAATCGCAAAGATTTGAGGGGCACTGCGCCCGTCACCCTAAGACGTAAGTTGACAAGTCTCATGTGCCTGTAATTTCACCAGCACCCACCCTTCAAAACCGGAACACAGTAATGCTCTCATTTCGCTTGGCGGCAGAAATAGGTAAGGTGGCAGTACTTCCCTGGACGAACTCTACTGCTGCTGAGTTATTATATTATGAGCTGCTATTTAGCCGCTATATGACCATAGGGTATATGTATATAATAAAACATATTTAATATTTTTTTTATACATGAAAATAACATCGCAATAAAATAATTATGCACCTTAGTATCATTTAAAGTAATATTGTAGAAAAAAAATTAAATGTGGGTTCACCATTGTGCTGTTAGTCTCAAATTACTGTAAATATGTTCGCACGATGTTGTTAGTTATTAAGATAGACGTGCCTGTAACTGTGCCTCAGCGCGTTCAAGTTGTTCCTTTAGCACTACAGTTTGTGCTAGCACCGCGTGGTTAGCATCACCCACACTCTCAGTGTCGCTGTGGTGGTCCCTCTTAGCATCCCCACTGTCACCGGCGTCTTCACGCGCTTGACATCCCACACAGCCTCGTGTTTCTAATGCCCTTACTTCACGTTCCAACTGTCGGACGAGTTGCTCCAACGTGTTCACCTGGATTAGATACGTCTAATTACAATCAAGCTTTAAATACGTACATAATTTTATGATATCAAGTGATGACACGATCAAGTTATGCGCCTCGTGGTTACGCTCTAGCGTAGCGTTAGATTGATAAATAATGATGATTTACTAAAATTAAAATGATCAAGCTGGGGGTGCAATTCAAATTTAATTTTATTTTCTTTTACTCAATTTTAATGTTTATTTTATTTCAATTTAAAAAAAAATGTCATTTCATTATAATATTTTAATTTTTAGTTTTTAATGTTAAATTATTTAAATTTTATTTTATGCAATTTTAAATTTAAATTTTATTTTTGATTGTATTTTATTTTATTACATTTATAAATATTGAACTGTAAACGAATACCGTACCTAAGGTTTCTGTATAACTTAGAAGTGGACCAATGTTGTCTTAAATAAAAAAAAAAACTATTATTATTATTATTAAGAAAAAATAGAACTACTTTTATGTAGAGACTTATTGCAAATTGACGAAAAAAAACTAATGCGATTTGCGGGTGAAATTTTATTCCTACATAAATCTGAATGTAGGAATAAAATTTCACCCTACATGATTAACCTTTTCGCGATGCCTTGCGTCGTCTTGCAAGGCATTAGAAGCTCTGGTCTCTGCGGCTTCCAGGCGCTCGTTCAGGCGAGACTCGGTTCGTGCACTCTGTTCCTCCAAGGCTGCCTCGCGACGAGCCGCCTCCTCTATGGCGCGCTCCAGCTCCTTGACGAGTAGTAAAGGGTACAAAACATAACAACAATAGCATTTATTTATTTATTAACATTACGAACAACAATACAAAACGCTAACTATGTATTGCTAAGCACAAAACGGAAATGAATTATTATTATTGATTGATTGTTATACACAAAGATCGAAACAAGAAAAAAATCCTTTTATTCAACTTATCAGCTGTAGAGCTCCTGAGCTGGAAGAGTTGGAAGAGTTCGTCCAGGGAAGAACTGCCACCGTACCTATTTCTGTCGCCAAGAGGTAAGCATTATTGGGTTGCAGTTTTAAAGGGTAAGGGTGCTGTAGTGTGACGGGCGCCGTAGCAGTGGCAGTGCCCCTCAGATCTGTGATTTAAGGCTATATCTACAGCGGGACAGTTGCTTGAGCTGTACTAAGTACAAGTCCGGTCGTGTATAGAGTAATGCCACTTATGGGATGGCTCTGCTGAATACCAACTGGCCACTTTGGATTTAATCGACAAGCGTGCTAAGAGGCTTATAGGTGACTCGGAATTAGTAAAGACGAAGATGTAGAGCCTTGTACACCGCCGTAAAGTCGCCTGCTTATCGGTATTCTACAGGATATATCGCGGAGAGTGTGCGATGGAATTGCATAATTTAATTCCGCCTTATGAAAAGGGGTTTTCATCATCGACACTAGACGAAGGCTTGAGTTCCACCCTTATGTTGTTGATATTCCCAAGATTCGGAAGCGTTTCGCTTCCACATTTATATGGAGAGCGGACTTATTTCACGATCGCTATAACTAGGGCCTTTTCTAGGCGAGAGTGAATAGGCTTAATTTAGGTGTGCATGCTACATGGTCGACCTCATCGTCTCTTTCCGTCAGGTGAGATGGAAGTGAAATGTGCACTTATTAAAAAATATATTTAAAAAAATTTCAAAATATTAGTGGCACTGCAACTGTTGTGTATAGGCGTGTCGCTTACCCCCAGGCAGACAATTTGTTCGTCTTTAAACCTCCGTAATGCATAGTGACAGACTTATGAGGGTTGTAAATATATAGCTATTGAGTTTTTTTGAGATAATAAATTAGTAATTTGTTTGTGCAATTGTCTATCATTTCTGACCTCGAAATAGTGTTTATTGCCTCGACGTGGCTACAGCTTTTACCAACTGAGCTACGGGTCGATTCGGCAGGTCTTAGGAATTTCTCTATGTGCTTGTTGCGGATCTTTGTATTGGGTTTAAACGACTTTTTTTGCGAGAACTTATGAAAGTTTCTTTACTCAATCAGGTACTTTTACAGCTACCAGAAGATTAACAGAGATGTCGCCATATTAATTGTAATATTTATTTTTATTGAATATCACGGGAGTAAAACATCATGATATTGAATAAAAATAAATATTAAAAAGTGAATTACACTAACACTTTCAAGTACAGAATGTATGTATTTTTAAAATTACAGTAGAATAAATGAAAAAATGTTTATAAATTAATCAAAAGTTTTACTTGAACTTGGGCCTGTAGAGAGGTGACCCTAGTGCGCTCCTGTGCAAGCTGCACTTGCAATTCCTTCACCTGTTCTGAGGCCGAATTTGCAACGCGACGCTTCTCACTCAAAGTCTCCTGAAAAAATTGTAAACAAACTACTGGCTAATATCTTAGTATACCGGATTCCGCGCGGTACGAAGTGCATGCATACTTTATTGACAATTATCGTACCATTGAACACATGTACCGTCTCCCCAACAACACATTACATTTTAAAGTCCATTTCATCAATGGCGTACATACCTTGTCGACTTCTGTGACCCAACGGTTTGCAATGTGGGCATTAAGGTGCCTACATATTTGCTCAATTTTTTTTATCATTGGCACATGTGATCTGTCCCATATCTTTTCTTTTTCTACACAAGTTTTGTTTACAGTGACCTTCCCTAAACTCTTTGTTATACGGGAAGAGCACTATAAACTGAGCAAGCAAGCCTGCACAGGGACCTATTCAGTCAGGTCCTGACCCCAGACCAGCCCATATGCACGGACACGGGCTGTAAGGCACGCTCACTTCCCGACGCTGAAAAACGGCGTCTCTCCGTTCCCAATAACCTAAGCTGCTGCAGTGACCGGAGGAAATCTAGCTCATCTTCTACTAGCTCTCCGAGCTAGAGCCGAAGATGCAGGTCGCAGTGTCCTGAGACAATTTCCGGACATAGCTTCCGACTTAAAGGGCAATTCAAGTGTCCTGTTCGTATCCTCGCCTTGGACCCTCGTCTAGACCGCTACTAAGACACGTTAGCAGACACATGTGATCAGACAAAATCGAGTAAATGTTTAAGCAATAGACGCTCGACGATGATTTGTTCATCGACTTTGTGGAATGTGGAAATTAGATGCCGATAAATTTGCTCGACGTTAACCTTGATATTTATCGATCGCTAATAAGCACTGATCGGAATAGGTAAAGTATATTTTATTTATCTTAACTTCGATGAACAGGGACAGAAAGTGGAGACTAATTTAAGAAAATATTTTTTGTCCCGGTACTTTCGAAATTGACATTATTTGGGATAGGTAGACGAGGCGACAAGTTGTTGCTACCACAATTTCTCGGATTATTTACGAAAATTCCGACAAAAAAATTCATACTTAGTATATGTAATTACAATTATTAAGATAATGTATTTCAATTACACTGTTGATTTATGGACATGGACATGAAAGTCGAGTCAGAAAGTTCGAAAAGAACTACACGAAGAGTCGATGTCAGTCGATAGTCAGTTTTTTATGTATATTAAGTGATTTCCCAAATCTCGGAAAAATCCGGGGCAAAAAAATGTAGTAGAAAGGTAGTCCCGACTTTCTGACTCCGTTCCTCGAAATTTAGGTAAATATACTCTATCTATTCCGATCACTGCTAAATGATCGTAATAATTGTCAAAAATCGAGCAAATCTGCAGGCGGCGCAGGCAATAGATCGTCAAAGCACACCATTTCGAAAAACAGTAACGTCAAAAAATCGAGCAAATCTGTAGGCACCTGTAGATGAAGAGGTCCCGGGTTCGATTACCGATAGGATTAATTTGAGAAATGAACGTTTTTAAATTAGTTCTGGTCTGGACGTTCTGGTTAGTGCCCCGGAGTGAATGCGCGTTGGTTTGGTTCTCAAAAGTACAGGGAATTCCCTAGTTTGAGACCAGGTAATCCGTGTGGTTGTCTGCCACATTATTATTATTACACACTTGTGTGGAAGCCAGAAGTCTTCTACTCTCTTCCAACTCTGATTTTAAGCTGTCATTCTCCGTCTGTGCAGCGGCCAGGCGTTTCTCTGCCAATTCCCTGGCCCTGGCCTCAGTGGCAGCTTTAGCTTCTGCCTGCGCGGCGCGAGCACCCGCCTCGCGGTTTTCATGTTCCCCGCCGCAGAGCGTTTGCCGACGAAGCGCTCTTTCCTTTGCTATTGTGTCCTGAAATGTTACTTATAGTTTTAGAATATATTATCTGTGTTTTGTAGAAAGGGCGAAAGCGCCATTTCAAAAAAAAATCATGGGAGCATATTGACTGTTATAAAATATTTGGGTAATTCTTACAAAATCTCGAAATTCTTGTCCTTTAGGTTTATAAAAAAAAAGTATATAATTGTTGCCGTAAATTTAATATTTAATATCAAATTATAATCAATTACTAGTAATGCTTATATAAAATATTGATTAGTCTATTTAAATAATAATAATAATATAAAAATGTCCCCAAAATCATCAATCAAATATGTTCTGTGCTTTAAATCAACACAATTAACAAAAATAAACTTTACATTTTAAACATTCGATCAAATAAAATATGCTTTTCCAATATCAAAGCTATCCTGTGGTAAAAACACGATAAATAAATTTAAAAAAATGTATTATTATTTATGTCCTAACCAAAAAAATCATTCCCTCACATTTTGACCTTCTCTCGATTTGTGAACGCATTTTTAATCTTTGGTAAATGCATTTTGTAAGCTTTTAAAGTTAGCAGCACTGTAAACGTTAAAATTCAACGTGTGTGTGTAAAAAGTTTCTACTACAAAAAGATTTAATTTAAAATTCTAAGTTATGAGAACTGTCCATTTACGCCCTGGTTTAAAATTTCATTTCGGTTTTAATTAAGTTTAAGTTTTGAAATTGAATCTAGTAGGACGTAAATATTTCAAAACAGTCGTGAAAAACTAAAACATGCTCCCCTACATTTTTTTTCCAAATAACGCTTTCGCCCTTTCTACCAAACACCGACGATTGTATATGTCTGTAGATGAGAGAGCTAAAAGGACTTTAAGTCCAAATTTGGTAGATATCTTTGCAAAAATGTTTCTAATGGCTTTAGAATGCTGAAAGTCACGCAAAAGTAGGTATTTAACATATTTCATTTGACATTAAGATTGAATTTAAAAGCCTAATTCAGAGCCTCTTTTTTTAAACGCTCTGTAGTTTACTACAGAACTTAAACAGAAATGTTTTAACATTACTATTCGGCACTTCATGTTCTTTACCTTTCACCTAAAGTTATTTAATTTTGTATAATATTCTATACGACTACTTTATTTAAGAAATCATATTCAAATGACACCATAATTTAAAAAAAAATACTAGTCACCGACCGCCACTTTTAATAGTGTTGATTGTGAGCGTTATTATTATTATTATTATTATATTAAAATTGTGATAGATTACACATAATGAGGAATTTAAGTATCTTCCTGATTGGTAGTATTAGGGGTTAAAGTATGAAATTGCCGTTTTATTGCAATAGGTTCT